ATAAAAGGTCATAAAAACGTCATAGTATGGTCAGGCATCAAATTCGATAGTATAGTAAGGCATAAAAATGCTAAAAAAACATCATAGTATAGTATGGCATAAAAATGCCAAAAAACGTCATAGTATAGTATGGCATAAAACGACAAAAATATATCATAGTATATTAAAGCATAAAAGGTCTTAAAAATGTCACAGTATGGTCAGGCATCAAATGAGATAATATAGTAAGGCATAAAAATGCCAAAAAACATCTAATTATAGTATGGTATAAAAATGCCAAAAAACGTCATAGTATAGTATAGCATAAAACGTCAAAAATATATCATAGTATATTAAAGCATAAAAGGTCTTAAAAATGTCACAGTATGGTCAAGCATCTAATGACATAGTAAAGTAAGGCACAAAAATGCTAAAAAAACATCATAGTATAGTATGGCATAAAACGTCAAAAATACATCATAGTATAATAAGGCATAAAAGGTCATAAAAACGTCATAGTACTGCAAGGCATGAGATGAAATAATATAATTAGGCATAAAAAAAACAAAAAACGTCATAGTATGGCATAAAACGTCAAAAATACATCATAGTATAATAAGGCATAAAAGGTCATAAAAACGTCAAAGTATGGTCAGGCATGAAATGACATAGTAAAGTAAGGCATAAAAATGCAAAAAAAAATGTCAAAGTATACTATGGCATAAAAATGCCAAAAGAAACGTCATAAAATGTCAAAAATACATCATAGTATATTAAGGCATAAAAGTTCATAAAAGCGTCACAGTGTGGTCAGGCATCAAATGAGAAAGTAAAGTAAGGCATAAAAATGCTAAAAAATTTCATAGTATAGTGTGGTGTTAAAATTAAAAAAATGAGGTATATGACAGTAAAGCACCTTTCTGGGAATTGAACCCACAATCTACTGAAAGAAGGGTAGCTGTTTCAACCATTCTACCACAAGCTGCCCCATTATGAATCTCTTGTATTGCATGCCATAATAATGTCATTGTATAGTAAGGCTTAAAAATGCCAAAAAACACAATACTATATACAAGCATAAAAGGTCATACAAACGTCATACTAGGCATAATATGAAACTAGAAAATTCCAGGGAAATTTTGAGTGCCACGGGGGCTACTGCCGGGATGAGTACATGATTTATTTCCAGTGTTCAAAAGTCACCCTGATCATATTCTGGTTTTGAGAAATGTCTTGATATAAAAGACTCAATAAAACAATGTCACATCCCTCCATCATGTATTATTTGGGAAATATCTCATATTCTGTGTTGTTTTTTTTAATAAAACAAGAGGCAACATGTCTTCAAACTGGCATTTAAAGGGTTAAAATCCTGAAAACTAATAAACATTTGGTAGGTTTGAGCAGAACTGAAGTGGTTTAAGAGATGTATGCAAAAAAAAGCAGAAAAAAATATTGATATATGATGATTTTATAGCATTTTCTTTGTGTGTCCTTTTTTGGACACAAGGAACCCCAGAGGGTACAAAATGTGTTACCAGTGTATAATAGACCTGTAACAGTAACTGACATTAGATTTTAAAAATATGTCAAAAAAGACACTTTCTTGCAGAAATCCATACCTTCAGCTGTAACACAGCCAAAATGATCAGCAAATCAAAAAAGAAAAGTGAAGAAAATGTCCAAAAAAGGACAGAGGGTTACTAAATCCCATGAACCGCTATTTAAATTACCACTATTACGTTTTTTTCGGTGCTAAATTTAACATTACTGGGGAGGAGAGCAACGCGACTAGAAGTGACAGCGAGAGAAGGCTAGTAGCTTCTCCTCTCCTCTGTCTCAGCGTAGACCGTCACAACTTCATTCACTCATTTAACAAAACAAAAAGAAAAGCAACAAAGGAAGCAATAAATGGACTTACATATTTAAGACCTAATTAAATGTAATTTAAGACCTAACATGCGGCTAATGTAAAGCTAGCGGAGCTTGGAGAGTTGGTTATCTGGTTGCTAGGCACGCACACACGCACACAGGTCAGGAGCTGCTGTTGCCATGGCAATGTGAAAATCTGCCCAGAATTTGGCTTCTACATGGCTTAAAACAATTGCAAATTATGAGAAAACCGTTACTTCTTTTCAAAAACCAAAAACAACGTGACAGACACTGAAGCCAGAAGTTTCTTACAGTCTCTATTTTATTCAGATATTCCTTAAAATGAGTGAGTAAGCTCAGTACGAAGACAGAGTGAGATTCTTTTGAAAAAAAAAGCCGATTACATTAGGTGTCAATGAGAGTGAGACAGGTATTGCTGCCGGACTCGGCACCCCCATTTAAATTTTGTGCAGACCCTGCCTGTCAAAGTTACATTTTATGAATCCCAACAACTATGTCTACATTTTCAGAAAGAATTATTTGTCTCCTTTTTACGGTTTGGCCGTGAGCTCGAGTTAAAAATAAAAATAAAGGTTATTTTTTCAAAATATGTCAAAAAATGTCACAGTATTATAAGGCATAAAAAATCAAAAACGACATAGTATAGTAATAATTAAAAACTCATATAAAAGTCATAATATTGGAAGGAGAAAAATGGCATAAGAACAACATAAAAACGTCTCAGTGTTGTAAGTCATAAAAAGGCAAAAAAACAACATAGTATAATAAGGGATAAAAAAGTATTAGTATAGTTAGGATTAAAAAGTCATGGTATAGTAAGGCATAAAACATTTATAGTGTAATAAAGCATAAGACATCATTGTAAGGCACAAAAACATCATAGTATAACAATAATTAAAAAGGCATAACATTTAAGGCACAAAATTGCATCAGGATAAGGCATAAAAAATCATAGTATTCATGGTGACATTTTCATCGGATTTTTCCACAGAAATTCATCTCATACGTTCTTACATTTCATGTTTACTCCTTTTAGCAACCTCACAGCTAGTCTATAGACGACAGAAGCCAGGGTTAGTTTGCTAGTTAATGTTAGCTAACATGGTAAAACAACATCAGATGACATTTTTCTGGTGATGTTATGTACCACTGTGATATACTGACATGACGTGAGACTTCAGATACGCCCTTGGGTTGAAGGGTAAGTGTGGGAGGTGTTTCTTGGCCAAGCATGCGTAGGCAGATGAGGTGCTGACTTTTGACATCACAGTCTCATGTAACATGTATCTGCTCTTACAGTAGGCGAACTGTGGTAGGCTCAGAACGATGCCTTAAAATGTCAAAGGCAAAATCTGCCAAATGTCACTCAAATATACATATATGGATCATGATACAGAAGAAACATGACACAGCAGTCTGATCTTGTGGTTTTGATGTGTCTTTTTAAGTTCCTATTTTTTAAGTGTGACCTGAGTCACACGATAAAATACACAATCATCAAATGACATATACGTGTTGGACTGTGATATAGTCACCTACCATCTCATCATTACTCAGCCAATTTCCCCTGTTTTCCAACAGGCAAATCATTTACTGTCAGGAAACACCACTTCCTTTTTCAAAGGAAATAAATGCCATAAACTTGTTTTGGGAATTGACACACTATGAATAATTGAAGTAAAGGGACCCAATTGATAATTTATCTTTTAAAAGCTCCACTTTCAGTTTAGCATTGCATGACTGATTGTCATTCTTTCAACTGTACTTTTGGTTTCAGTTTCCAGTGTCCCTGTCCCTGGTGTTCTAGTGGTTTCCAACACTGGGAATCAACAGTGTTTATCATCAGACATAATAACAGCAAGTGGTCAAAGGGAGCAAAGGGGGAGTTTTTTTTATTTCCCCATGCCCTTTAAATAAGCTTGTGACATTTTGCATTGATAACTTAATAATAATGTCATCTCCAACATGACTCATCAGCATCAGTCCCAGTTGAGACGTTAGGGATTTAATGGACTCAGTAACAATACCATATTGGTTTTGTGGGTTTTCATAGGTCTTATTTAATGCATAACCTGATATAATGATAGGATTTTCAAACAAGCAGGAAAGTCCCTCCTCACAATGACATCAGCTCATACTTTGTTTACCAAAACCATGCAGATCAAACTTCAGAAAAATACTTCAGATTTAAGTACAGTGAATTTTACACATCAGGTTCAAAATAAACATAAAAGCTATTGTCTCTTTGTTGGTAACTAGGCTACTATAAATTTTGCCTTTCCAAAAGTAGTAAAATGTGTAACTGCAGTACCAGTACATAAGAAAGTTACAGTACAGCAATGATACGTGTAACAACTTAATTTACACCCATTTGTGACAGTAGTTTGCCCAGCCATACGTCAGAGTTGTGACTAGAATGGTCGCTTTGAGGGTAACAGTCAATTCAAAAATAAAACCAGGCAATGTTTTTAATTCCTACATTTGGACAAGTTGGAAGTCTGGCATATCAGCAACAGCAACAATACCATTTTGTTATTTAAAGCTTTAAATAAGCACCTTATTGTGGAAAGTCTGTCAGGCTGCACTTCTTAGAAAAAGCAACAATGTGAACTCCTGGAGAATTGTTATCTTTCTAGTTAGTCATTATTTAAATAAGCGGAGTGCAACTGATTTAATAACTAAGCAATAAAATCAGTCATCCAAAGCTGGTTCTTTATGAGGAGGAAGAGGAAAAGAACAAATAATTGCAAACTGATCGACTGATGTTTTTTTAAAACTATAACTTCGTATCATATATTGATTTTCACTGAAGGAAATAAGCTCCATCTATATAAAATGACTAAAATGAGAAATCATGTTACAGGCACGTAACAGTTTGCAATTTGTAGGGATTACAATGAAGACAGACAATGAATTAAAATACTTCTCAGTGAAGAAAGTCATTCATGTACCCTTTATCTCTTTCTTTCATTTTGTATGTCATTGCTCACGCTGAAGACAAATTTAAGACACGCCCCCTCAAGAGGATAAAAAAACCCATGACGATGAATAGCAGGCTCAGTTGGCTGTGGGGTGAGTTATGTGTTTGACTGCATGGGCCACAGCACAGAGAGGTTTACACCAGGACATTACAGCAAGACAGAATTCAGGTAAAGAAGACAGTTAAGGACTTTAATGCATTTAAGTCTAAATCTACAGATTTAGAGACAAAAACAAAAGAAGTAGATATCGGGGATATTTCTTGAACTGGATTACCTCACGTCTTCCCTCCCCTTTCCACAAAGCTGGAAAGCTGACAACAATATGGCTGTGATCCTATGGGCAATGGGACTCTCTCTGCTCATGCAGGGCTGTTTGTGCAGTCTCGGACAGACTGACAGAGGCTGCATGAAATGGATCGCAAAAGGAGATAATGTTTGCTGTGAAGACTGTCACCCAGGTAAGTAATAAAGGAGAAATTGAAAAGAACATTACTCAATTCCATATATATATATATATATATATATGTGTGTGTGTGTGTGTGTTGTGTGTGTGTGTGTGTGTGTGTGTGTGTATACATATATATATATATATATATGTATATGTATATATACACTGCTGTTATAGTGGGTTAAATGGTTTAAAGATATCAAGGTAACAACACTTGTTTTTTTTAACAAAACACTATACACTTACCGTATATATCCCGCAAGGAAAGGAGACAAGGTCCCTTCTGCTCACTTTCTTAAAAAAACAGCTGTCATATAAATATATTAACATTATCCTTTTACCTAAAAAGTAGTTCTAACTATTCCACGTAGTATCTAATAAAAGCAAAAAGCCAAGAGGTTGTGTGCGTGTGTGTTTTTATCTGTGGATGTAAAGACGTCATATTCCATATTCTTTGAGAAGTTCCTCCGTGGTGGTTGCATGTAACCAAATTTAGTTTCAGTGGTTTTTCAGCTAATACCACAACAGATAGAAAAGGCGTGGATGATGCAACTGATAATTCAAATAATCTGGAGCTGTGATAGATACTTGTATGTGTGATTAAAATTGAAAACAGTACTGTATTAATAACTGTTTCTCAAAGCATTCCTGTACTGCTTTATAGCTTTTTAAATTTTGATGGGGAAACTCACATTAGCTTGTGTATGAAGACCTGCTGTATCATTGAAGGAGCTAATCTCATTGGAACAAATGCCAGTTTATGTGACAGGGTTTACAGTATTGCAGTTAATGTTTCTTATGTGTGTGTTTGCAGGAAATCGCCTTGTCATACAATGTGGTCGGAGCCCAGAGGATCTTTGCACCCCTTGTGAACCTGAGACATTTACAGTGAATTCTAAAGACCAGAAGTGTACTAGATGTACACAGTGTGTAGGTAGGTTAGCGTGTCTTAGTGATTACAAAAACATTTCCTCAGTAGTGTACAATCTTGAGAATTCACTATAGAAATCTATAAAAATTGATAGATTTTGGACCTCTCTTTCCATCTCTTTGTATATTTAGGTGCTCAGGTCCTTGTGAAAGCGTGCACAGCCACAAATGACACACAGTGTGGCTGTATAGACGGACTCACCTGTGGTAATAGCCAGTGCTCCTTCTGTGTTAAGACGTGTGGCATAGGCGAGGAACCTACAAAGGATCGTAAGTAAAACTACAAAGAGACACATACACACTATACATGTTACAAAGATAAGCAAGTCATCTGAATGGCTTGTCTGTGCAGGTTCTTGCAGACCATGTCCAGTTGGAACCTTCAATAACCAAATTCACCAGATGTGTAAACCCTGGAAAAAGTAAGTTATACCCTGCTCTCTTTTGCTGTAGTCATTGTACTCACTGACAGATGTGATGAAAACTCAGAAAAATCTTTGGAATTCATTGTTTTTATTTTTTTTCCTAAGGTGTCCCAATCTGGGTCAGTATATCGATACCCAGGGAGATGCATCCCATGACATTGTGTGTGGTAACGTGTCACTTGATGCAACACACAACCCCAGCCCGCCTGGTAAGGCACAATTCTGTTCTTGTAATGAAGTTGTGCTTTCATTTTTATCTTTATATATACATTTTTAAAGCCAGGTATCATTTCCTGCTGTTTCTATCAGGTTCCGCAGAACCAGCATGGCTGGTCATATCTGTGCTCACAAGCATAGCTCTCATTAGCTTCAGCATCATCGTCATCGTCACTGGGGCTGTGAAAATTCTCCAGAAAAGAAAGAAGACAGAAAAGGCGATCAGAAAAACACCAATAATCAGAACCCCTACAGGTATTGTTTTACATCATGATAGATTATGAAGAGATTATTCTGACTGCAGTACCTGAATGATACTAATGATACAAGATGTTTATCAAGCCAATTACAGCCACAGTAGAAATATTTGATTTTGTCCTGTTTGTCTTTTCTTTAGATGAACCTATGACTTTAAGAGCCATAGAGTGCAGTTTTCATGAGGCCCAGCAAGAGCAAGGCAGCAGCTCAGAGTCACTGAACTCCAAAGACTCCTCAGACCCGCTCATTGTATGAATGGACCAGGGACCAGGCAAGAAATTGAATTGAAGTTGAATTCAGGTCAATAATAAGATGTGACCCTTCTCTGTGATGCTGAGCCACAAGTTTGAATGTTGTCTTTGTATTGCCAATTAGCTTAGTTCTAAATGAAACAAAGACAACACCATGTACACCCAGTTGTTTTTTTTACCCACCCTTTTTTTCCTTTATCCAGATAACCTACGCTACTGTGAAAAACCTTGATAGGTCAGGTTAGAGGTAAGGTTTTGCTCCAGGTTACAGTCTCTGTGATACAGTACATTTACACATTGGAGGAAGGGGAATTCTGAGAGGGAAAAAACAAGGTGGACTGTCAACAGTCTAATCATCATGTAAATTATAGCAGACAGTGAGGTTGTTTTTCCCCCTTTCACTTAAGCTTGAAAGATCAAGTAGTCCTAAAATAGCAATGGAAGGTTTTAAATCACCCAGACTGAGTTTGACAAAACAACATCTTACATTAAACAACAAAGTCTTTTGAAACCAGAGGAAGGTTGGTTAACTACTTCTAAACTACATTCAAACAGAGTAGTTGGACTTGTTAGATGCCCACGCTACTGTAGGGTTTGAATAAATGTGAGTGAATTTCACTGCACAGTTATCTGTACGTCTGAGCAGTGAAGCTGCTGTGTTACTCTGTATGAATGTACTGTACAGTGCAGGTGGGTGTTCAGCTCAGTGCAAAACATTTGACTACAGACAGGTTTTTATTGACAGCTAATGCTGAGCCCACACATTCCACCCAAAATAGATGTTTTGTTCTGCTCAGGTTCCATTGCTCTACTTAGTTAACTATTGTTTACTGCTGACTTTGTACATTGATAACCCTGTTATGTTGCAGCAGCCAAAGCAAGAACTGTGTCAATCAATGATTTTATGTGGTGAAACATGATTTATCAAAGGAAAGTTTCTTACTTTTTGTCTGTATTATTTAATTTTTTGTATGGATGGCAACTACTTTGTCTGATACATTGTGAAGATAATAAGAATAGTTTTGTGCACTATTGTAATGAAAACTGTTACATTGAAGGCAGTGTGGTATATAGCCTCTTCCACTCTACATTAGAAGGAACTATATGGACTTTCCTGCTATTGCTTAATTTAAATAGTCAAAAAGTCCAGTGAAGGGGGTTTCCCTTTCAGTGAAGTAATCCTACAGTAATCCCAATACATGTTAAGATAAAGCACCAGGGAGTCTACAATACAGTACTGAGAATGCATATCTACAGTACTTAGGTCTTTTTTTTTTCAATGAGGCAAAAATTTGGTTATAGTTCAGCAGCACTTATTTAGCAAGTTGGGACATGCCTCAAGAGTTTTGCAACAAGGCCTGGGTATCCCATGTATAATCTCCACAGATATTAGAGTGCAGATGTGATTAGTCACACGCTGCACCTTGATTTTTGAGATTCCTCAAAGTGAGTCATGTGGGAAATCCTCAGGACAACTATGACACACATTTGACAAACATACAAGGCATGCAAAATATGAAAATGTGGCTCAATGGTCATGTGGGAACCCCCCCCCCCCGCCAGTACTGCCTTTTACTTTTGCTTAGCACAGTGGAGTGGGCAGTGAGATGAGTCAAAGTGGAATGTTTTTTTGTTTTCTATTTCTTAACGTATTATTTCTTTTCTGAACTGTAGCAGGTGTATGTTTCTTCTGAAATGGAAAATTTTAGAAATATACTATGTGGGCTCAGAGTGAAAATGTTAGCCCACACCTATAGTAATGTATCAGTGACTACATTATTAGTCACAACTCGCGCAGAATAATTTCTGGCGGGAGACCACAAAGTTTGCAGGTGCTGCCTTGAGAAGAGTTACCACAGAACAGTCGAACAGTTATACAGTAAAATGTTCAGCTGTAGCACTTTATTTCACCTGTTAACTGACTCGTGTATTTCTGGTTAGCTTTATATGTGAATTTATCTCCATCTCATACTTTTTAAATGACTTGTTTTTATAATAAATGATGAAGTTGAACTTTTGATTACACTGTACGACATGCATTCTTTCACATTGTACTTTTATGACATTTTTAAGCAACCAATAAAAATATTTTTTTATTTGTTGCACTTTTATACATAACATTTGCATTCATAGTGGTCCACCTAAGCAGTGGCATATTTCATATGTAGAAAATGAAGCATGTTTTAAACGTGGGAATAATATGAACATACAAAAACAAACAAACAAAAAAACAGAATACAGAATGGTTATATGTGTGTAAAATCATATCCTTGTTGTTAGAGCAGGTTTCCTGTGCCACCAATAATGTTAATTGGCTCTGGACTGATAAAAACCCACAGACAAAAATATACAAAAACATGAGTTGGACGTTGTACCAAATAATCAAAGGTTAAAGATGCACTTGTAAAGTTTTTGAATCTTTGAAATACAGTTGAAAGCTCCAAAATGATCCATGCTCATGAGTTGGATATATTTACATTTGGATATTACAAAGCACTTCAACATAAAATTATGACAACTGTAATGTATTTTTCTAGCAAATGTGATATCCATTTAAATAAGAATTAAATACGTTCATTTGATTGTCACTGTGCTACTGTAAACAGGACTACAGTATGGCCAAACTGCTTTGAAACAAAGTTGGCCAACAAACCAACTGTGGATGTCTTAACGTAGCTTTGCTGATACCAACATCTCTCAGGTTCAAAGGTTATTGCAATAACTTCTTGTTTTCTCTTCTCGGTAGTCAATTGTTGGTTTTGTCAGAGCTATGGATGAGTTATTACCATGTCCTAAATAGTGTACAGCTCACGGCGTCTACCAAAAAATCCCCCAAGATATCACACTGCATTTAGGCAATTCTAAACTGACACTAAGGAAGTAACCAATCATTTGACCTTGGTTATTTCCTTTCAGTAAATCAGCTGTAGAGATAAATCTTCAGTACAATATAAAAGGAAAAAACCCCACAAAATTCTGCAGAAATACCTGCAGGTCTAAACAAACATGACATTTTGGATACTGACAAAATAATGATTAGCTAAATAAAGACAAATAAAACTCATCTTAACAATAAAAAAAATGTATACTGTTTAAATTAAACACTCAACACAAGCAATACCTCAATAAACCTCAGTTTTCCCTTTGAAAATTATAAAATGCATGAGTTCAAAGTGTTTTCATTATTCACTTAATCAAGAAATATTCTAAAATGTCACTTCTCTCAGCTCTTTCTCTTTGTTCCACTGGTTTAAAGTGCTTATGGGGGCAGAACTTAAGGTAATAAGTAATGAGAACTCTGTAACTGAACTGATATTTAGTGTTACAAGATATAAAGTTGCACTCCAACAGGACACTGTGCTGGACATTATTGTTGCTTGCAATTTTCCTTCTTTTCTTTTGGTTTAGTGCGTCCAGATTTTTCTGTTTGCCGCTTTGTGGGTGGGATGAAAGTAGGCTCCTCAAGGAAGTCATGTAAGCCAGAATGTGGCATGGGAAGCGACTGACAGGCTGGACCTATTATGGAGGAAAAGGATGTGAATATCCAGCCATTGTTTTACCAGTTTCATTTTGAATGTCACTGGTCGTGTTTACATTACCTGTTTGTCCCACTCGAAGGCTGTCTGTGTCTTGCCTCCGGGCCTGGAAGGTCGGGTCCAGCTCCTCTGCAATGTTTCTGATCTGCTGGGTTTGTCTGCAAATGCAGCAGTTATACATCAGAGTATAGTATATTCTATATTATCAGTTAAATATATATATGTTCAGGTAGAGACAATTACGGTAAAGTATAGGTGGGACTGGGTGGCTGGTTCTCTGGGGAGCAGTCCTCAGTGGGGGAAGGAAGGCCCTCTGAGTCAAGTCTCTCTCGCTGCACCTGAGGCAAAGGAGACTAACTCATTTCATCAGCTTATTTTTAAAATGCAGCTGTGCTAACAAAGATTATAGCAAGGCAATTGTTTGGAACATATGTACCTGTCTCTCTCTTGCAGCTCGTCTGTCATGGTGACTGATCATTGCTCTGTGTTCGCGCCACGACGCCGGCCCCTCCAGCTCACGAGATCTTCGCTTTGATTTAATTTCCTGCTTCTGCATAAAACGTGCAATTTCCTAGCACAAAAACACAGCATGGTGTCATTTTACAGGTGAATGTGAAACAAGAAATAAATGGGTACTGACAACATGTCAGTTCATCATCCTACCTCATCCTGCGCCACCTGCGCCACTCTGAAGTCTCCCTCTGGGTAAGAACTACATGGAGAGGGTTGGGAGCTCTGTGAGAACAAGACAGTGAATGTCAGAAAAAGAGAATGAAAGAGAGACGAATCTTCTATCCTTCCTCTTTGGCTCATAAATCACAGTGTGTCATGATAAACTGTTAGATCACTTACCCTCCTGACCAGCTTTTCCTCTTCGTCCTGCAGCTTGCGGGCTAGTTCTTCATCTCGTAGGACCTGATGCAACTCCCCAAGGTCCAGGCTTGCTTCACCCTGTTCTGGTTGTAGTGCCACTCCTAAGGGTGAGGTTTGATGTTATTAGAAATTAACTGGCAAATCAAAAGGTATTGCAGCAAATATGATGAAAAAGAGCATAGTGGTAGTAAAATCATAGAAAACATATCAGATGATCAGTGATGAATCATGTTGTGAAACAGCTGAAAGAGAAGCAGACAAAGACTGAAATCTGAATCACACTGATAAGAGGATGCAGCATGTAAAGGCACGTTCCTAGGCGCTGAAGGAGTCTCCAGAGTATTCATTCTCTCATGACATCAAGATTGAAAGATTGACAATGAAGACAAGAATGAAAGCACCTACTGAAGATTATTTTAGGACTACTGAAATTATAGATTTGGAAAAGGAAATCATCCCCAAATCACCAGTAAAACCCACTTTTGTCCAGATTAGATGGTGATTGAGGGAAAATGAGAGGAGCAGATGTACACAGATAGGAAGCACAGTTTTGGAAGCTTTCCCTCTACAGATCGGAGTTGGCTGCAGTTCTGGGTGTTACCTGCTGCCATGGGCCTTGACCTATCCCTGGTTGAAGCCCCGCTGCTGCTGAGGCTTTGGCTACGCTGTAGGGTTCTTCGAGGGGGCCACCCTATCCTCCTCTCCACCTCCTGCTCCTCCTCTGAGCTTAACCTTTGTTCAAGGGTGTTGTGCCCATGTCTGCGTTCGCTTGTTGTCCTCTTGACCCTGTAGTCATATGCATTCCTCTCCCTCTCGTCATCATTAATGTATCTGTGCTCTCTCCACCTTCTACTGCCTCGCCTTTCTCTGTTAGCAAGATATGAGTCTCTACTACTAATCTCAAATACCTCTCCGGCATGCTCCATATTATCATGGTGCCTGTCTCGGTCTTCTCTGTGATCTCTCCCACTGTTCTCTCGGTATGACGATCTCCTCCTCTCCCTGATATCTCCATGGAAACTGTGCCTGCTGGTGGCAGCTCTCTGGAAGGCTCTCTGATGTGGTTGGGAGTCGCAGCAGGAGACCTCACTCCCATGAAGCACCTGGCTGTCTCTGCTTTGAGGCCTTATTTGTAGTGGCGCCCCATTGCCACCAAACCTCACAGGCACACCCCTCTCTCTGAGGACCTGGCCTAGCATCTCCCACACTTGGCTGCTTTCATCCTGCTGCCTGTTAAAGCTTCTGCTATCGTCCTGAAAGTGGACACGTTTGTCAGGGTTGTCCTTATAGCTCCAGGTCCTTGCCAAGTCTCTGTTGCTACTCCTGTCATGTCGCCTGGCAGATTCACTGCGATGACATCGCCTTTCTCTCACCTCGACCAATCTAGAGTCTCTATCCTGATCTCTGCTCCTGTGCCAGCCCTCATACTCCTCTCTGTGGTTCCTTCCCTGATCCTGATTCCTAGGCCTCCTCTTCTCCCGTTCACCATTGTCATAACAGTCCTCGTCCCACTCTCCTCTCTCCTCCTCCCAGCTTCTGAGCTCATCTGTGAAGCTGCTGCGAGAGCAAAGACTTCTGTAGTTTCTCTCTTGCGAGTGATGTAAAGAGGCCCGTCGTTGAGTAGGTTCTGTGTTAAGTCTTTCATTCAGCCTCTTGGACCAGACAGAGAGTTGTTCAGAGAAATCTGTGTCTGACTCCTCTGAATCCTCACTCAAAGGCTCTCTCAACTCACTCCTGATTTGCCTAATGGAATCTGTGTGTCCTTGATTTGACCATGAAGTTGTGTTTTTCTGAGCTGCTAGTCCCCTGGGGGAGACAGCCCAAGGCCCAGTTGAGTGTGAATGGTTGTGAGAGGTAGAATATTGCCACCTGGTGGTGGTAGACGAGTACTGCTCCACTCCTTGGTGTGTGTGCTGGTGTGGGGAAGGCAGTGCAGGATCGCTGGGGCTGCCTTTAGTAATGCCAAACATGCAAACACAAAAGCAGGGAGGGTGGGTAAGGCTGTTAGCAGGTACTGTTAGAAAAGTGCAGTTATTGGCGAGGTAACACTTGGCATTAAAAATAGATGCATGTCACTTAAGTAAGAGTGTTTCTTACACAATTTATATAAATGTTTTAGACACAACTGAGGCATTCTATTAAATGTATAGATAGGAATACAGGCACACTGGCATGCATAATAGAAAATAGAAAAGACAACATGTTATATGCATGCAATTGATTCAGAACGCAATACATCATGGAGATGATAATACAGTGCAATGGCTACTGTATGTAGAGCATGTTTTGTTCATGCCGTAATGTCTGTGGATGACTTACATACAACAATAGTAAGCTGTAGCAGTGGAGCAAAGCGTGGTTAGAGAGAAGCTAAGCCGGACCTGGGTCTTGTCCTACTTTAAGTGTAAAAAATAATTGCAAATCTCTGCAAATACCCATACCACAACATATTGATTTAAAAAATTTAAACATCACCATTTTCCTTGAAAAGGATTTTGCATTATGTTGGGATTTCTGGCTAATGTTGCCACATAAGTATACAGGTAATAAAACAGAACAGAATGGGAAAACTTCAACTGTACCTTCACTGTGGCCCTCCTGCCCTCTGCTCCTCCTCCTGATCCTCTGCTCTTCCTCTTCCTGCATTCGTTTAGCTATTTCCTGTGGAGACATGGCAGTACTGTACTGATTGCTTGTTTGTATTACAAACCATAATGAGTAACCAAACAGGAATTTATGCTAAACTGAGATTACAGAGAGATGGAACTGTTCTGTCAAATAAGTAAATAAACAAAAGATACAAGTCTGATCCTTTTTAAGTTATGAGAAAAATTTCCAACTACATTTGAAAACTCTGTTCCAACTCCTCAAACTGTATCATTACACCATATTTAAAGCACTGTGAACTGGAACAGTCAGGTTAGACATCATGTATACTGTTTTCAACCAGCAGGTGGCAGCATAACATATTGTGTAAAGAAAGCAAGGCTACAATTTACCATGAGCCTGTCACTCAAAATGAAACAAGAAATGCCGTCTTTAGGAAACTTTTGATTAATTACTAAAATTTTATCCACCATGTGGATGGTTTCACTTTTCTATTAACTGCATTCCACAATTAAGAAAACACTAGACTTGTTATTCTATAGATTCTGCTTTTTTGCTTTAAACCTACTCAGGTCTCTCTGATTTGATCTATACATTATTAAAGTTCAAGTGACAACACAAATGTAACATGGACCAAACTCTCAGACCCTGTTTGAAGACTTAGTTTACATCCCATACATCTACAGTGTGAGCTACATCTGGCATGTCTGCACCAAATGCTGAGCCATGTTGGGTAAATTAGTGCCTCTTTGAGGTGATCCGAGATCTTATTAGTGGCTATCCAACACAAAGCCAGCTCTGGGTGGCCAAACTAAGCAACTATTTCAGGCAGTGCTGTGGCTGACTCAATGGAAACTACAAGACTACATGAGACAAGCAAACTTTTCATCTCTTCAGCCTGAACTCTGGAGCAGAAAAATGCCAACAGAAGCAGGTCACCAGGACTGTGTCGTTTTATAAGTAACACCTTGTCACTGGGGAATGCCTGCTCTTACCAGCGCTGCTATACTTGTCTGCTCTCTGAAGCAGAGCCCCCCCACCACGTCTCTGTGCTGCTTTTCTAGGAAAGGGCAAAACTAATAATGTTCCCTACAAATCAGCAAATTCTCCCAGTGAATTCTATGAAATATCTCTCTGTAGGTTGCATTTGCAACATAAATCATAACTAAGAGCTAACGCAGCTCCTTTTGCTTTGCAATCAGGGCGTTTGTGTCAGCCCCTTTGCCAGCATCAGCAGATAATTAGCAGCTTGCCATGGCAGGTTAGGCGTGGAGTGCCACGGGGATCTGGCATTTAAAAGTGCACAGCCTGGCGCCTTCTGTTCCTTAATTAAAGAGACAATCTACAGGGAGGGAAATATTGAATAAACACCTCTGATCAGCCAGTCATTAAGGAAGGTAGGCTAATGGGATTGTTAATAGTTCATCATTTGAGCCAAACATCAACACTCATAAAAAGAAATGGTTACACCCACACAGGAACAGATGTATTCACAAACCATATGCTGCATTACCTGGCATGACTTTTAACCTGTAGGTAAATGAGGCTTTACTGTTTAACTGAGTGCATTACACCTCATGAGTTCACACCAAACCCCTTTAATAATGATGAATGAACGCCACAGCCTCTGTGACCTCACATCCTCCATACAAGGAGCTTTTATGAGCCTGTTCAAGGCAGCGTCCTCTAAAAAGGAAACTGCAGGGTAAAGGAAAATATTATGCTGGAGCAGCCTTGTGACGCTCAGCACCAGCTGGGGAGTTATACAGCTCAACTCTTCATTTCTATTGGTGGGCAGTCAGATGATTTTTTTTTTTTGTCACGCAACTGATGTGAAGAAATGCATGTGTGCTGTAAAAATGCAAAGTGATATAACAACAAACTTTGAATGTGTGAAAATTGGAACGCATGTAATCTATATTTTTATAATTTGGTCACAAGTAGTACCAGCAACATTACTGAGATCTGAGAATTTTGTCATGAAAATAAAATATGGAGACACAATATATAGAATTACTTCTCAGCTCTAAAAATACTTAATTTAAAAGAATTATCCTTATATCAAACTTGCAATGCTGAATAAACACTGCACAATGTTTTACTTAACATGTCTCTTCCTGAAACTGCACAGTTAAGGTTTTACACAAGTCGACTGTGCAAATCCAGTGAGACTAATTGTGCAGCCATGAGCGCACTTTGTATGAGGAGGTTGATGATCCATGTCTGAATCAACCGCCACAGAAATTGCTTGAGCCATCATCCAGATGGGTAGCTGACAGGTTGCGTCTCTGTTTAACAGCTGACTTTGCTCATACAGTCCTCTTACGGCACAGTGGGCACATCAGAGGTTCAGAGCAGCACTTTGCTGCTATTCATTACGGACTCAGTCAGTCCTAAGAGAGAGCAAAGTGAACCATATGATACTCCCTCACCTGCTGGTAACAGGCACATAATTAAATGATATACAAGTATGTCCCGAGTGCCATATAAGTCTATGAGCCGCTTTGATGAATGTTCTTTTGCTAACTTTGAGGGTAATGCTGGTGCTATTTTAGGTTGATGCCCGGGTTTTGGCTGCACACAGTGTTATAGTTTTTAGATTCAAAAAATCATTCTTCTACCTTCACAAGCAGCTATTTTCTGCACCATGTGACACACTTCGTACAGGCTTCAACATGAGCTACTGAGCCAGGGAATCCATTACATACTCCATTACAGGAATTAACAGTCTGCTGTGTCTCAAACGTGGTATTGGTTTGACATTTTGATCAAATTTGTTACCAATGGAATCCCTTGTAACTGCAGTTAATTCAAGCTGAGCACAGCCTCTTCGTCTGTGAAGAAGGAAATGATGATCTTTTAACAGTCAGCTGTCATGCCCACAAGAAGTGAATATTTTTACTATTTTTGGTGTTTAGTATCACTCTGAATGGTTTTCTCTCTGTTTCTGTTTTATTACAGCCTTCTCCTGAATTAAAACTAATAAAATTGAACTTGTTCGCACAGTGTCTCACTTTGATCTGGTTACTGACAGCAACTTGACACCCACGGAAAGGGATTTGTTCCTCTTTCAGGAGCAAATCCCTCAAAATGTTTCACTTTACAAACTTTGCTGTCACGTCTGAGTTTTCTTATTACTTGAGACAGAATTCCGTTTTAAGCCAAGCTTAACATATTCGAGTTTTAAATTTAGAAATGACAACATGAGTGACTGGTAAAAGAACACTGATTTTCAACCTTGTTTCCATATATCAGTCATCCGAGGGGGCACGTGTATATTTTGTTCCCTATATTGCTGTAGCCACCTGTAGCATAAAACCACAAAAAGATCTGAAATAAAGACTTGGTCTCTTCTCTCTCTTTATTGGGCATTGGACTGATCTATCTCCACTGATCATATCATGTGATAGATTGCATGACGGCTTATTAGGAGTTTCCGCTCACACTCTTGAAATGTGCAAGATGCCTGGGATGGATAATGTTTTGAATGTTAAATGTTGCTACCCTATGTGCCAGTGGTAGAAAGTAAGCAGAGCTGTTGTGGATGTTAGCTGAGTCACCAGCCCCTTTTCATCCATACAAAAGCAGCTACTGTTCTATTGTTGTGCACAGTGAAAGAGGACACAATGCATATTGGTATGAAGTATTCATGCACAGATTGACTTGTCAGTGGGCAAATGTCTTGTGGGCAAAGATAACTGATAAAAACTGAATCATTTTATAAAAATATCTCCTTGCATTGAAGATTCATTTTTTTGTTCATGTTATAGTAAGCCTACTTTCAGTGTGCCAAGTATGAGGTCTGCTCATTTCAAGTAAAAATAGTACCCTGTATGTAGAGGCCTGCCGACTGAGAGATAATGGCTTCATGCAGATACTGATGGGTGCAGATTTCCAATTCGAAAAGATTTCTCACAATGAGGTGGGTGGTAGGTGGATAATTGATGAGTAAGTGTGGATTCAGGTGACGTCAAGTTGAAAACTGCATTAATATGACATGGTACATCACTGTACCAGTCCTCCCACTATGTCAAAATAGTGTAAAAAATAGTTTAAATGAACCATGTGATCATAATTGACATTGAAATTCTATTTTAAAACCAATTTCTAGATCTTTAATGCATTGATTAGAAGACTGTCAACTAGATGCAGATAGAATAAGATGTAAGGGCATCGTTATCCTCATACTGCACATATGTGTACTCACCTCATCATCCTGCTCCCTCCTCTGGGCCTCCTCAGCACACCGCTGGATCTCATCCTGAATGACACGGGCGTACTCAAAGTCTTGCTCCTCTCTAGGGAAGAAAATGAAATTTAGAGTTGAATTCTAAATTACTTCTTCTAAGAATAGAAGATAAATCTGCACAGCAAATCCACATTTAGTAAACTTGTATGTATAATATAAATGCAGATAACACACACACGTAGTAAAACCCACTAAATATCTATCATCAGTGGGTGTTTTTTGGAATTAGTGAGCCCATGCAGTGATGTTTGAATACTGCAGCATTATGAGCTGTGTTACAGTGTGTTTGGGGAGCAGGGGTCACCTACAGTTGTCTGGAAGTCTGCCTGAAGATGGCGCTCTGCTGGGCCCGCTGCTCCTCCTCCTCATCCTGCAGCCTCTTGGCTACACGGATGTCATTCTGCACCAGCTGGTTCTTCTGGATGTTGGTGGTATAGTATTGCTCGACTGTGAGGGCAAGGCAGAGAGAAAGGCAGAGGGTATGCCAATATCAAATGTGTGGCAATAAAGGACCATGTGTGATCTGGATTATACTGATTAATAATTACGATATTACTTCCAGTCTAAATCTGTTGATTTTTTTTATTCATAACTGCTGTGCTTATTTAAAATGAGCTTTGTGACATGCCAGACCAGTGCACTTCTGAGGAATCCTAAAAACAGACGCCAAATTATATGTTTCTTTGTTTGTTGAGACATACCACAACTACGACTGTTACAGCCAATAGCTAAACAAAAACATGTTCGATGTCACTACCTTAGGTTTCCCAGGCTGCCTTGGTGAGTAGTGGTGACTCCATGAGACTGACTGGAGAGCAGCTCCAGCTAATATAAATTACTACATGTTTGTAGTGTGTAGCTGTCAAATGGTAGCCTGACATTGTACTTACTCTCCTGCTCCTGCAGGTTATGTGCCAAAGCTCCATCCTCCAGCACAGCAAAACACTGGCACACTGAAACATCAGAGGACAGGAGCCCTTCAGTATCAGACCAAAGGTTACCAAGTGTTCAAAAGATGAATGGAGGGGGAATGTAGGGCATAGAAATGTTTAATAAAATGAGTGAAAAAAAAAAGACACAAATCTTAAATTTCACTTTATGGCTCTACACAGAGCCAGACAATGATGGCTGTTTATACAACACAGACAAAAGCAGAGGAGTGTGCTTTCAAACTTTAGAAAAAAGCAACCATCCACCACTCTGGCATGAATTCACTGTTAATTTATAAAAAGCTCTCAAAAAAGACTCTCATAAAATCCCGATCATAACAGGGCACCAGTGTTCCAGAACAAAACACAAGTGGCCACAATTATTACTGTCCTCCCAAAGTTGCTGAGTTCAGAAGCTGCACGAGATCCACCACATTCTAACAAAAGCAATAATTTGATTTGAATGTGTGTGTGTACTTGTATATGGAAGCACAATTTATACATGCATGAGTACAAAAGATAAATAGATCTTTAAAAGTGTTGTTGAAAGGATCTTGAAAGGATGAAGTACAAGCACATTTTTTTCTTTTACTAACTCACTATGAATACCAAATGAAGATGCAAACTTTAGGAGCTACCACCTGCAACCATTTGTACTGGGAAGCCGGTGCAGATGGTGCAAATGTATGTAGAGAGAAATCAGTAAGGCTGCTGTAAATCCAAAGGCTTTGACAAAGAGCTCTCCACACACCAGCTCTGTCTGGTTTTCTGTATCGAGTCATTCTGTTTTCTCTATCCCATGATCCCACAGTCTGGCCACCTGCTGCTAGACATAGTAATAAAACATATCGGTTTCATGTCATTAACACTCTCTGAGCCTTGTCCTTTTTTTGTCAGAAAGCTGACAAAGGCAGAGACTTGAATGGAAACACAAGGAACAATTATGTAATTAAAACGTGTGAAGTCAAACAAAGACATAATCAACAAGAGAGATAGTTAACTGCTCTGTTATGACTTTAATGCAGTTTAAAACCACAATCATAAGGTGATGAATATGCACAGTTCCTATACAGTGGTTTAAATAGCTTCAGCATTTGTGGACTGTTACTCTCATCTATAAACATACCATGCATGTTTTCAGTGGTTTTTTAATGAGCCACTACAGCCTCTATGCTGCAGCCCATGTGTGTTTAAAGTCTGTCAAACAAAATCAAAAATTACTCAAGAGAAAATAAACACCGACAGACAGCAGCACCATGGGCCCAGCTGTTTTCTCCACTTCCTTGATCTCTGCAGACACACAGCTCACTGTGAACAGACAAGACCGCTTCGCTATCTCACTGATTTTCTTCGGGGAATGCAGAATGGCTGACCTTTTCCTACAGTGTTGCTTTCAAATGCCAGGAGAAGGAAAGCAGACAGCGTTTAAGAAGAGATTCAGCTCCTTGCAGAAAGAAAAGCCTCCAGCCTGAGCCAGAGGCAGGGCCAATTAAAAACACCTGTCCTGCTGCTAATCCCTCCACTGAGCCTATCAGAGCAGGCTCTACGGCGTCTGTGGACACAAGAGCCACATTTACAGCCATGCACTTAATGCTGAGGATGCTGAAGTATCCAGTTTATGAGCTGGCATAAATAAATACCATATGTTATTTTTAATTGCCTGTTTAAGCTCTTAACCCAGCTATAAACCCAGATACACTTTATACTGCTGCAACACCATAAGCTCTTTTAAATGCCAAAAAAATAAATGTTAGACAGAAGCTATTTCTATATTATAAGTGGTATTATATCAACATGCAATTATACAATTAGTAGCCACTTTTGTAAGTACAACTGTACAAACTAATACAATCCAATACAACTGTTCTGCCATAAAATCGCCGTCGTTACGATGACTGTAATGTTCAGTTTTTTGACACCATCGTAGAGGTGTTAATTCAGTTGAAGCACTGAGGTCATAGTTAGTGGTGTGTTGTACTGGGCTGCATTATATTCAGAGGTTTTTCTAAAAGTCTGCTCCCCTCATGTGTGTAAATAAAGAGGACAAAAAAGTCATAAACACCTCTCAATATATTGCAGTCCAGTACAACACCACCTTTAACTATGTCCCCAATAACAGACATACAATTTACATATAATTAAATTTACACATTTACGATAATGTCAACGGAACATTATGAGCTTTGTAAAGGTAGGATATTATTGCAGTAGATGGTGCAGGTGTACCCAATAAAGTAGCCATTTTATTTGACAGCAAGTTATTACAGCTGCATAACACCGGTGAATTCCAAATAGGACTTTTGAGTAGCAAATATGATCTAGTATCTAGAATACCGTGCGCGTAAACCTGGCTGTCAATGTAAGGGAAGATGTAAAGGTTGGGGCATTCATTCTCACTTTGTTTGCTAAATTTTAAAATTTAAATTACAAATTTACAAATTACATATTTTAAAACAAAGAAACGGAAGAACAGGAGACAAGCAAAGATCCTGGAAATTTACTTACTAGCTGGAGATGCACTGGATGGTGTCATGGACGACAAGAACAAATGGGAGGCCTCGGGATTCATTCTAAGAGTGATATATTGAGCTTAAAGTCTACTGTGAAGTTGTGACCATCTGTGTGGCTAAGTGAGAACACATGAAGAATGCTTCTCTGCGACTGCTCTCTTGATAAGTTCTCCAAAGTCACATACTGACTTCCTTGATCCCTATCTTTTCACTATTTTCACATTCATCGTCTAAATCAGCGGTCCCCAAACTTTTTTCAGTGGGGGCCACATCAACTTTCCTTTCTGAGATGGGGGGCCGAGGTTAGTGTATAACAGGAAATGATATGGGCCAGGGTGACAACCAGTATTATTGTGGAGATTACAATGATAATTTGTTGTAGCTGCCCTTCGTTTGGCTTTGGCACCCCCTGTTGATTTGCAAAAAAAAAAAGTAATAAAAAGTCTTCACATGTGTTTATTTGAAGTACCACAGATACTCCATTTATTTTATAGAAAATAACAACACAAACTGATGGTATGCGGGGGGGGGCGGGGCCGGCGGGCACCGGGGGCTAGCTCTGCCTTGCTGGGCGCAATGCCTGTCGGGGGGGGGGGGGGGGGCGGGCCGGCGGGCCATCCGGGGGCTACGCTCTGCTTGCTGGGCGCAATGCCTTGTGCCAGGCGGGGTGGGGGCACCGGGGGCTGCCGGGGGCGGCTAGCGTTGCGTTGCTGGGGCGCAAATGCCTGTATGGGGGGGCGCCGGCGGGCCGGATCCGGGGGCTAGCTCTGCTTGCTGGGCGCAATGCTCCTGTGCCACCGGGGGGGGGGCGCGGCGGCGGGTCCGGCCGATGGGGCCGGGCGGCGCCGGCGGGCGGTAGTCTGGCTTTGCCTGGGGCGCAATGCCTGTGCCGGGGGGGGGCGCGCGGCGGCCGCCTATGGATCGTGGCCGGGGGCCGCGGCGGCGCGGCTAGCTCTTGCTTGCTTGGGCGCAATGTCGAATGCGTGTGCCGGGGGGGGGGGGCGCCGGGGGGCGCGCATGGGTCATTCTCTCATATCTGAGGTGCCACACCATTAAGAATAGTGTGAAATGTCACATGCGCGTATAGTTGAAAACGTCTCTCGAGGGCGCCCGCTTTGCTGCGACGATAATACAACTTTTGTCAAAAGTGAACAAATTGGGGTGTCTACTGGACGGTCTGGTTTCTCGCTCCATTCGTCTGAGTGTAACATAATGTCAGCCTAGCCTTAAAAAATAGAGACAGTCGCATCATCCTATTTATCCTAGATGGGCCGCCAGTCGGGTCATCTCTCATATGCTATGAAGGTGGCCAACAACGGGCATTTTGCGGTTCCTTCCAAACTTTTTTCAGTGGGGGCCTACATCAACTGTTCTATTCGTGAGGCGTCTTGGGGGGTCAGCGCGAGGTCTAGTGTTATAAGGCTTTCAGGAAATTGATATGGGCAGGTGACAACTCAGTATTATTAGAGATTACCATGATAATTTTTGGTTGGTAGCTGCGCCTTCGTTTGGCTTTGGCACCACTGTTGATTTGCAAAAAGGGGAAAGTATAAAAAGTCTTCACAATGGTGTTTTTTTGAAGTTCACAGATAGTCCAGTTTATTGTTATAGAAAATAACAACACAAACTGAATGGTATAGTTCAAGTAGAATGAGGTGATTGTGATTTGTTGTAACAGGTACAGTTTTTGAGTTAACGAACGGTAAGTGTTCTGGTCTTTACAGGTAGTTGAAATATATTAATACAGAATAGTGGTCAGAATCAGTGCTTATAGAACGATGTTGCCGCATATAAAAAAGAGCATTAATCTTCTATGTATGACACTTTTTTAATATCTATTGCTATTGAAATCAGTAGGCTTACGCATATCCGTGTGAGCTGTGGGCTTTGCTTTTCTGATGGTGAGGAGATCGATGTTCAGGTTTCCATTTCCAGTTACAGGCCAGTCTCAGAGACTGATTGCAGGTGTTGGATCTGTGAGACTTGAATTCTCTGTCGGTATTTTTTATCAGCTTGCATGTGTGAAAAAGGTTTGTCACAGATATATGTGTTTTCCCACAACTGTGGACATCTTTTGTTGCGTGCTTTCTTATGTTGGGGTAGGGTCTCTATTTGGGAGGGCTACATAAGTACTTGATGCAGACTTGTTGGGGCTGAATACGTCTTTCAGCCACATCACAGGTGCTGCAACTCAGCCAGAACTCAAATTTGAAGAGAAGGCAGGTGTCGTTAATGTCGGCGGCAGAAAAGGGTCTGGAATGTGCGGTATTTCTTAACGTGGCATGAAGCTCACGGAACGCACACGCGAACTCCGCCTCAGGTGTTTCCATGTGCGTCCTTGCCTTCTCGTTGGGAACCGGGACCGCCGGTTTCTCAGCTGAGAGGCTTCGAGTAGCAGGGAGATGGGTGAAGTCTTGTTTTTGCACCTGTCCAATAAGCAGCGCTAGTTTAAGCTCAAATACTTTGATGTGGGAATACATGTCAGATTAGTTTTCCCTTGCCTTGGAGCTGCAAGTTGAGGCCGTTTAAAATTTCTGACACATCTGTTAATAAAGGCGAGGTCCCATTTCCATTCTGTGTCGATCAGCTCTGGGACAGTTTTTCCCTTTGTCAGGAGAAAGGCATTGATTTCGGGTAGCAGGTCGTAAAAACGCTTCAAAACTCTGCCCCAGCTTAACCAGCGGACTTCAGTGTGGTAAAGCACGTCTCCGTGGGCTGATTCTAGCTCGGAGAGAAAGGCTTGGAACTGCCTGTGTTTAAGTCCGTTTGCTCTGATGAAGTTTATGCAGGACACAACCACCTTCATGACAGATTCCCACCTCAGAACTTTGCAGCTTGACGCTGGCTCGGTCACGATCAAAGTCACGTCAGAATATACCATTGTGTGAGGAGGTGAAGATGAGCAACTATTAACTATAAATAGCTCATAACTATGGTCAATTTTAATTAGAATGCCAACCTTTAAGTACGGATATGTTATGATAGGAAAATGCAATTTAATAAAAATTGGTTGATGTTTAGAGGGATTGTCTGGGATCGTTAAGTGGGCCACTCCAATTGCTTTGGCGGGCCGGATGTGGCCCGCGGGCCGTAGTTTGGGGACCCCTGGTCTAAATGTACAAAGTCCTCCTCTCTTTCATTATTGCTGAACCTTACCTGAAATCACTAGAGCCTGCTCTAACAACGCAATGTTAAATTTCAACATTTACAGAACTGGATCTGGGTTGATATAAGCAGTCAAACTGAGGATGTCTCCTCTTTGTCCCAGTCTGTAAACAAGGAAGTGAAAAAACATGACATGATTGTGATAAAAATTAAACTCTTTCTCTAAAAGACATTACTCTAAATCCTCCGAATGGAAAAAAAACCTTCTAGCTGAGAACACGTCTCTGATTATGTTTCAGTCTATTGGGCTCAGCAGTCAAAGTTCATGGAAATCACCCTGACGGCACTGGGCTATCAAAGGGGTCTGTTTACACCATAAATGACCCCACAAGTCTGCACTGAGAGTTAACCCATACCAAGAGAGACATGCATTACCACTTACACCTGTCGTGGAGCTTAAGAGACTATCCACTAAATGGATCTCCGACCTGCCCTTATGCGTCCAGTCTGTCAGTGAGGAGGGATTAAGTCAAACGCCTGGTTTTAATCCAACAGGACAAATTGACAGCCCAAAACACAAGTTTACTCTTAAATCCATTTCAGAAACAAGAACTAATGAAGGAAGGAAGGAGGGAAAGATTGAGGGAAAATGACAGTCTTTTCCACGTGAATGTGTATGTGTGTGAGTGGGTGTGTCTGCATTGTGGGTTAACTTGTTTTTCCAAACGCCTTTAAACTATGGTCACGTTACATTTCTAGGGGAGGGACAAGGAGACCGTGTTATTTTGACTGATGAACAGGTTTTTCAGAGAAAGGGTGGGAGGCATTCAGGGCCAACAGTAAAAACATATGTTCAGTGCGAGTCCAGGGCCAGTGTATAGTAAGCTTCTTAATAAGGAAAAGAGCCTGTGTCTGTTTCCTAAGAGGATAGTGAATCAAAGATCCAGCAGAAAACAGAAATTGGCTGTGGCATTTGAACACCAGTGGCTAAGCTTCACTGAGAGGTACGACTGTCTAAGAAAGAGTCCACAGCAACAAAAACGAGTAGAAAAGATTTCAAAATATTAGTAGCCACCTACTTTATAGCACAGTATGTTTTGCAGCAGTGTGTGCGGACTGGCTCTGCAGTGAGACTGGGAGAAGGGGATATTACAAAGCAGGAAACCACGACCTGTATGACCTGAGAGCCTAAACAGCCAAAACAAAGTGACTTATTTCCTATTTTAAATGCTTCTCCTACCTCACAAATATTCCCCATAAAAAGAAACAGAAAAATGACATGACATGACTATTTTTTTTCCTTTCTGCTGATGTAACTATAAACAGCTGAAAAACTCCCACTAACATTAGAGACCTGACAGCAAATCAACTAAAATAAAAATGATGCAGCGTGAGGGAGCAGCCGATCAAACACTGACAGAGATATTTCTCTCTCATCTTCACCGACACTTGGATAGCACCAGTGGCAAGTGCCTCTCAAACAAAGAAACTGGCAAAAGGAGAAAATGACAAGGGTTCTATTTTAGGCCAAAATCCCCCACCGACCGCCCACGCGCTCTCTCTCTCTCTCTCTCTCTCTCTCTCTCTCTCTCTAACTCTCTAACTCTCTCCTCCTCCCTGGTCTCTTCTGTTCTCCTGCTTGCTGCTTTTTGCACAAAATTCCACCATGAAGTGTCTGTCCATCCTACAGCTCTCTGTGCTGTGTTAGAAACCAGCCAGCTCATGAATTGGACTAGATTGTCATGGAGAACAAAAAGAGGTGAGGGGGGGTAACGGGACTCTGGGTCAGTTGGTGAGAGTGAGATTAGGAATTGGGGGGGGAGGTGGGGGGCGGGGGAATTCCTCTGGGAGCTGCATTCCCTCTGCACATCGGGCTATATCAGGAGCAACCAGAGGAGGGACAAAACAGGAACTGATAAGGGGGGCAGTGAAAACAAAGAAAGCTGACTTGGCTGAGACTATCGGATGGGGAGGAAAGTGAAAGAGAAGTGAAACACGGGGAACTACAGCTCTTGGGGAAATTGGAGCATAAACACCCACAATGGGACAATAAGTAAAGAAGCAGAGTGGCACAGAGAAGGACAACAGCATGGTCTGACAAATCCGTCTGGTGAAAGCAGAGGATGAGTGGAAAAAAAGATGACACTGACCAGACATCTGATTTACATACGGCGATTGTCTCAATGAGCAGTTTATAGCTGCTGTCACTGTCTTTGTTTGTGCGCTGGGCCACTGCTCGATAAAGCATGAAAATGCAAAGCTGCACAGTGGGCCCTTTGTGTGTGGAAACAAGAGTGGAGTGCTGAATTATCTCCCCTGATAAAAGACATGCAGACCTATTTCTATCCTAGTCATTAGTATGGACATGCCAAAGACTGAGTCAACGGTCTACACCCGGGCCTCAGCTTAGACATTCCCTACCTGTGAATATTTTCAGAGTTTCACATGCAACTCATTTAGAGCTGTGTTTTTATAACAATGAGACAATATTGTAGCTGTTTATGTGAATTTTTCCTTTTCCTGAAAAAACTGTTGGGTTTTTCTCAGCAGCAGGATTTTGCGAAGTGAATCTCCACTCTAAAGCTAACTCTTTCTCAGTATATAAATGTCTGCATATATTGGACAGCTCATTTATAATCGTAGTCTATAGTTCAGAGACCTTTAAAACTGAATTTCAATTAGCAATTTGACTTGAATTTGACAAGCAGTTCTTTGTATTGCAAGTCAGAAAAAAACTAAACTTCACTTATGTTGCCGTCCAAGTCTTCATCTGGAGTGATAGCACTTTCTTCCCCCAGAAATCACAGATCACAAACAGCTACCTCATTCCCTCCTCTTATCTGTACCCAGCAAACCAGACCCTGTGTATGATGAGAGCCATCTCTGTGCAGCTGTATGACTGAATGTGTGCCATTGCATATAGTCAAAACATGCACTGTAGCAAGCTACTTCTTATCTGAGCTAGACGCCAAGTACAGATCCCATGGAACTCAAGCACAGACACGCAAGGTCCATGGATAAAACACTGAATCCCCACTGGCTCCATGTCTGCAGTTCAGTAGCTGACCCTGACCTCTGACCATCCCCGTGGAGGGAGTGAACAAAAACAACTTTTCCCCAGGCCAGACCATGAAAGCGTGGCACATACTGCACATACTTTTTACACACTCTGTGGGGATGCATGGTTTAAACTTTCTACAAGCAAGAGCTGGTCCAGTTTGGGAGTGTGTTCTTCTTACCTTCTTGGACACGTGGAAGGTTGGACTGGTCGATCTCCAGCTCTGCCATCACTGTCCCTGTGCTGTCACTGACTCATGGTGATACAGAAGACCCTGACACGAGAGAGGGATTTTTTGGAACTTGTGATCTAGCAAAAAGAAGTGGATCCTTGAGACAATAAGAAACAAACCCCCCCCCCCCACACACACACACACACCCGCGAGCCAGCCACATGAAGAGACATTTAGTCAACATCGGTGTCTTTACTAGCATTACTAGTTAACATAAATGACATTCATGCACTAAAGCCTCTACCAACTGAAACCAGTGGCAGCCTTTGTTGACAGCAATAACACAGCTAGCATGAGTAGTACGGCTGTTAACATCGACTAGAGGCTACAGTCTAATGTAAAATGTGTATGTTTTGGAGGAGGCCACTTCTGTTTGTCAAGTAAAATAAACACCACACAAACATTCAATCAACTTGTATCCAAAAGAGTCCTTGTTTTATAACCTACCTGTTCCCAGCAGGCTGCCCACACACGCTCCAGTGTTGTGTTATGTACACACGACAACAGCCTATTCAACAAGTACCAAAAATGACAGCAGAGTGTCAACTTTAGAGTCGTCCGCACTTTCCCTCTCCCTCCCTTCCTCTCTTTTTGCCGTGTCTCTACAAATTATCCAAAAAAATGTCACGACAAGACAGCGTGCTTGACCGTTTCTAACGCCTGTACTTTTGGTGTGAATTTTTTTAAGCGAAACCGACAGTTGTTGTTCATCAATGAAACAAAGCCCCGTCGACTCGTGATGGGAAGCCAGGGCGGACAAACTTAGCCCACAGTCTGTCGCCCCGGCTGCTTCTTTCACAGCTCCTGTTCGGCAGCAGTGGGGGCGGTTAACGGCTGCTGCCTTCAGGTGCCCCTTGAAGCTCAGATAGATCTCTGCTAAAGTTTAACCACGAGTCACGATGTCCACCATTAAAAACCCAGATTCGCGTTTTTACCAGCTGTTTTATTGTGCATATGAAGAGGCAAAAATCCCTTCTCTTAAACCGTTTTGGAATTTGTTACACACAGAGTACAGGATCAGCGTTGAGAGACTGGTGAGGATGGTAATCAGGGTAAAAGATCAACCGACTCAGCGCAAAAGTATTAGAGTATGGCTTAAGCTGCTCAAAGAGATGAGACGCACGTTAGCAGATAACAACACAACAGTAAACTTAGCCTTTCACCTTCAGCTGGCAACACCTATCCCACATTATAACACAACTATGATATTATACAGGCCTACGCACCCACTTACGTGTGCACTCACTGAGTTGCAATTTGTCAAACGGTCAGTGAAGGCAGCACCTATCCAGCCAAAACATCCAGTCACTCAAAGATGATAACTGAAGTTTCCAGACTAATAGTGTTAAAGTCTGTATTTTATTAATCTTAAGAAGTAACTAAATAAAGATGGAAAATAGTGAAAACTGCATGGCGCTGTAAAGTGGCCATTCTGGCAACTCTTTTAAAGTCTTTAAGCACAATCTGATAATGGGATAAAAAAATAAGATGTTGACTGATAGTTTAAGACAATGATCTAAACAGGTTGACGTGTGAAAAATAACATTATCATTACCAACATTCGCTGCAGTGTGAGGCTAAATCACAAAGATGGAGCTGGAATTTACTCATTAATTCAGATGGGCAGGAAACTTTCTTGCTCATATGTCAAAATAATATCAAAAGTCTCATTTCTGAGCAGGATAATATGCTGCTTTTAATACTCGTCTTCGAAATGTCAGTGATGATGAGAATAGGCTGCCTTTTGGTTTTGAAGGCTGCAGGTTTTGTGGCAGATGCAATTTGCACTCTGTCAATCTTAGATCCTTTGAAGACTGATAAGATGAGGGGGGAACAAAGTTGTCTGTTTCCGGGGATTTTTTTTCTCTCCCTTGTGAGCCACACTGAAGAATTTACATTGTAAGCTAATTTGCAGACAGGGTGTAAAAGATGTCAGACTGCACTGCAATGTTGCCCTCTGCTGGCTGTATTTATGTCAGAGTGTTGTCAGTGAGTCACAAACCTGCCAGGTCACATAGCTGAAAATGATAGTGAGTGTTTCGGTGTGACGTGTGGCTTCGGGGTGAATGACTGTCATGAGGTTTAAACTATTTATAAGTCAGGTATTTTCACTGATAAACTCCAGCCAGGCCGTGTTAAGGTGGAATCAAGGTCAATAAGATACTGTACCGTCTGCATAATGTCTGGTGTGCATATGGGGTTACTCCAGTGGTGAAACGCATTGCTATTGTACACATTCGGTATAAGTCTAGATTAAAATAATACGCATGTAGCTGTATGTAATTCTAATGCAAGCAATGGTAGACAGAATTGTGCCTTTGTGTTTGAAAGTGACCTCTAAAGCTCAGCAGAAGTTAGTCAAATGAATTGAGTATCTTCCAAACTTACAGTCTTTTTTAGTGCAAAGTTCCCTTTTAGTTTTTCCCTGCAGAGTTCTGATAGAACCACAAAGAGGGACTTTTCTACTAAACGGTTGTAACTTGATTTGTCTAATTCAAACAGCTGAAGTCTTATTCTAGCTTCAACTGAACTCTAGTGTATATTTAACACAGAATGTGGATTTTGTCCCCTGTCAATTACATTTCATTTGCATATAGGTAGGAATCTCTTCTCAGCCAGTACTGACAAGACAGCAACCAAAAACTGTTTCAGTGTATGCACAGGCATATGACCTATCCTTTAAGTACTTATTTTGTAAGACATTATTCCTGCACTTGCTCAAGTACATTTAAAATATTTTTCTTTTCACTTTAGTCCATTTGTCAAACAACTGCGTTTTTTTATATAGACATTTTGTGTTTTTTAGCAAAGCAAATGTTAACTCACAGATTACAATGCATTTCTATGTTTTAAACCCTCCACATGGTGAGATCTAATCACACCAAACAACACTTTCGTCACATACATACGACAATAAAATGCTTACATGTTCATGCAGCAGCACCCTACACTCCATTTTTGACAACATCTTTTGCTATTTAAGTGTATGTTACAACTTTTTTTACATTTAACATTTCAAATAGGCTTTATTTATAATGTCATATTTTTCCACTAGGATGTTGCTTCTTAAACTTCAGGTAAAGATGCATTAGTTTATTTATTACTTCAGGAAACTGATTTAACTATGTGGTTTTTAGAATTGAGTTCAACTGCTAAATTCTGTTCATGTTGAATGATTATGATGTCGACAACCATCAATCTATATGTTACACCATGATTGGTGCTGCATTTCAGGTATTTTTTGAACCACTGCAGCTGTTCTCGAACAACCACACACTTACTCACATTATGCTGCGTGAATCTCAAGAAATTGCAGTATGTATCCACGTTTGTTGCCTTGAAGAAACTCCAGATTCTTCATGAATTGTAAAGCAGAGCCCATATACAGCAGGATAAACCTCAAGTACGGAAGAGACAACATTTATTTTAGAGGCTGGAATAACCTGAGATTGGCAGCGGGGCCTTGACTAATACAGAATATAAATCTTAATAGCTTTTCATGATATACAGCATCACTTAATGGAGTGTCTGGCCTTCTCACCATAAAATTAAATGTCACTGTCGCTTCGTCGACCCTCATTATCATACAAGAGACCGAACATTGACGTCAGGCTTCTAATAAATATACAAATTACATACAGAGGCGCACAATGTGACTTTGTAAATAGCTGTCTCCACCTGTTCCCCCAATCTCCCAACCAATAGGAGAGACCTTGTGACTCCGTCCACTGATGCTGGACACACTCATAAAGTGGAGTTTTATAGCATGACTACAAAGAAGTGAACACACAAACGTAGCATCTTACCAGAAAAGGGCGTCTAAATAATGTGCATGAATCAACCTAATCCAGTGACCCATTGAGAATTCTCTGCTGCTTCAAATGTCAGATGGCTTATAGACTACGAGGCCTTGAAATTTTTTTGGTGTTTCCACTGAACCTCTGTGCGAGTAATTAGGAATTCTTACTGCTTTATATGCAGGTCCAATTGTGGAGTTTTTCTGTGGGCTTTGAGCCAAGAGCATTCAAATGGCCCAAGAGTTTAATGAACTAGTGGCATTAAAACATCAGTCATTTGGCTGCACAGTCTCTCCACCTGCTCCCCTATGGGCTGTTGTTGAGAGTGACATCTGAAACACCTGCGTTGATCCCATTTACAAAGTCAGTAAAAACAGTCAATCAAGCCGAAGATGGTAAAACATGACTGCGCCCTTGAAGCATGGGCCACGGCACTTGTCTTTTTATTGAGCCTATAATTCACCTGTGACTTCCTGTTGATTTAAGACAGTTAGATGGGATGAGGCTGTGGACACTGCTGATGGCTGTTGTCGCCAGCGAAACTGCGTGTATGTGTGTGTGTGTGTGTGTGCGTGTGTGCATGTGCCTGACTGCTATGTGGCATACAGGAGGGGGGGATAGGCTACAGCTGGAAGTATATAACCCAGTTTGGACCGACAGAGCATGTACAAGTCTCTCCACCTGAGGACCTCCGTAAGAATCAGAGCCACTTCCAACAGCAGCGTCCTGCAGTGATGAAGTGTAACCATCTCCTGTCGTGGGCCTTCCTGCTCGTGGCCTCTGGCCCACTGCTGGCCCACCCCATCACAGAATCTGCTGAGATGCCCTATCCAGGACCTGGTAAGTGAAAAGAAACAACTCCATTGTACCTGTTATGTACTAAATCTATGTACGTTGATCAACATTTTTAGTAATAAAACTTAATTTGTGAGGCTTAATGATAGATAAGCCTTGAAGTCATTACTTTAGAGTCTCAGTGTCATGACAAAAGTGGATCTGTACTCTCTGTGTTTACTGGTCAGCATAAATAACTTAATCATGTCTGCAGATTAGAAAATGTACCCTGTGTGAATCTATACCTGTCAGTGGTTTGTTACCAACTGTGTATGGTTTGTTGGGTTGTCCTCAGTGTCAGTGGAGGACAGAGGAGTCAACACTCTGGATGATCTGTCTCTCTCTGAGCAAGCCTTCCCTCCTCAGGACGGTGCTGGTCTCAGATATTCCACTCTGATATCTGGGGAGATCAACAGAGATGGTAAGAAACATGCACACTTCATGTTTGCATGAGCTCTTCATATATTAAACTTTTATCCAGTTGGAGTTGGAGGTGTTGATCATCCACTCTTTACTTCTATAACCTTTATTCTACCACTGCACGTGCACAGAAATGTGGCGAATTGGCTCATGTTGTATTTTCTCTCAGGTGTCAGAACAACAGGCCTGCTTCCTCGGGGGATGAGAAGAGAGGTGGGTTTTCTACGAATGCTATCCCTAATACAGCCAAGAAAAGTAAGCTGCATAATGCAACTAAAATGTTTATCGCTCCTACTTTATCTTCTCTTTCAGGCCCTACTGGAGAAACAAAGTCTCCTAAATCCATTCAGCCGTGTGTTCGGCATCCGGAAGCAGTTCAGGAAGAGAGCAGGGAATTCTGAGTGTTTCTGGAAGTACTGTGTATAAAGCTGACAACAGGCGTTAATGCTACACACAAGAGACAGGGCTTGCACTAAAACAAAAAACCCTTATCTTGCACTCACATATGTACATGCAGACAAAATCTACACCATGCTTGCATATACTTTATGTGGGCATAAGCATGTCTAGTGCATGTACTCAAATATACATAAGCAGGTATGATTGAGACATGTTGCTTGGAGACTTTAAGATGATTTATTAAGATTGCTCTTATGTTTATTGGTGTACACACATTTCTTAAAAGTCCTCAGTTGACTGATGTATGACCAAATGTCTTTTAAATGTGAAAGTCAAAAGTAATACAGCACTGTATGCTGAACAGAAATAAAACCTATATTATAAAAACTGTATCTGCTAATTGTCTTTTCTTGATGGTGAGAATCATACTGACAGCTGGAGGAACCACCAACCCTTTCTTCAAAGTAAAAGAGGAAACAAAAAGACGTTGCAAACATGGTTCTCGAGTTTTCTTCATTTTTTCCTTTTTTTATTATTTTACAGCAGAAAGAATATAAAGCATTCAGAAAACATCTTCCATATTTTAAGGGCAATTCAAAACGTTTTGCATGGCTTCAGCAGCTGAAATCTCTTTTTTTTTTCTTTTTTTTTTTACATATCCATCGAGTCAGTGACGCTTGTACATGCACAATTACAAAAATAAAACTTACAAACAAGAGAAGGGGAGAAAAAGGAGGAAAGAAAAACACATTAGGAGAACCAAGAGGAGATGAAATTTTGAAGGGCAGGGGTCGGGAGCGGAGAAAAATTGGGTCACATAACAGGGAAAGACAGAGAGAAAGACAGCTATAGAGGAGAGGAAAATAGATCTAACACTAGTTCACATGCAAAGTGTCGAGGACCCGTAACTTTCTATCAAAGCAGGGCCTTTTTTTTTCTTCTTGGTTTGGAATTGATGAAAACGTGCAGTTCAGTAAAGGGTGCCATATAATTGCTGTCCATAAACTACTGAATGCTTGTCTTGCAATACTGGCATTTGCATAAGAGTAAGTCGACTACATGTGTCCAATCATTTTAAACTTCACTAGGTCTATAGGTCTCCACAAAATAGTTCTTTATTGCTCTGTGTCCACAAGTGGAATATGTTGTAAAACTGTTTCTGTTCTGTTGTCCTGATGTGCCTACCTTTCTCCGGTTTGGGTGCTTGGGAAAAAGAAGAGGAGGAAAGGCAGATTCCCAGGTCAGTTCACAGAACATCTTGATAATACTGTATACTAATGCAGAGAGCTCTATCAGCTAACCTGTCATCCCATTCATAAATGGCAGTAAAACAAGATTTGCAGGTGAACTTTTCATATAATTACACTCTTAATCTTAAATACCCTCTACACTTTGTCACTTAGATAAATTAAAGGCCTAAAGAACTGGCCAGAATTATACTATGATTTGACAGGCTTCTATGAAAGAACGTCAAATCATTTATCTTAATGAGCTATATATAACAGGACTTTATTCCAGGGCTCCACTGGTGTCGGTGATGTTCAACGATACTGAGAGGAAATGGATTATATTTCATATTCACTCATTTCAAGGACTTCAGTATCGTAGTGGTGAACCTGTCTGGCCTAGATTCTTTACCAGAAAGCACTGCTGAAAGATTTTTCAATTTCAGCGTCTTCTGCTGTGAATCACGTGTCCTGCTCTGTTTCCTCCTCCCCATTTTGGCACCCTGAGTAAAAATTACAGAAGGGAGGTGAACCAGTCCCTCGGCCCGGAGAAGAGCAACGCTGCCTTCACCGCTCAGTGTACAAGTGAAACTGACACCTTGATATATCTGCATGTGTGCTGTGCGGTGTCTTGTGCGTGTGTTTGTGTGTATCGTGTGTCACTTAGCTAATACTTGCTATATATATACTGTCACAATGGTCTCCAACCTTGTCCATTTGTTCCTATTTGAAGTTGGGAGCACACTGATCAAATCTAAATGAATCAAAAACTAAAGAAAAGGTCTAAAAAGTTAGAGCTTGCTCTAAAAAAGAATCCTGTCCTCATGCTTTGCCATGAAAACGTCAGCAGCTACTGAGTATTGATCATCGGCTCAATTTGTAGGTCTGCCGTCTGGTCACATGCCCTCTGTCTTTCTGAGTTCTGTGACACGTCAAACCAACGTTCATCGTTTTACAGAACAGTAATTCTTTTAACAAGTCTATCTGACTATCGATTCTAGGAAAATAAGCATGCTTTAGGTGCAGTTGTGTCACCCTGTTAACTATTTTACCCATGCAAGCATAATAAATCCTTCTCCTTTTTGCCACAACATTGCATTGGCTATGCATTCTAACCACAGACTTGAGGATGAATGCAAGGCAACAAACCCCAGTAGTGGCATTTCTAAATGTGAGATTTTAACAAGCTGTCCCAGTACAAAACAAAAAAAAAAAAAAAAAACGTAGCATGTTGACAAGCTGGAGTGCTGTACTGATACTGGTGTGAACAGGGAATATCATATTGTTGCTTTGGTGAGTGTAAGGTGATGGTGATCGTGTGTGTTCATGTAGAAGATACAGCACTGAATGTGGGTGACCATGTTCTCTCAAACTTTCTCAGCCTCAGGTACATTATATGCATTCTGACATTAACTTGGCGTTACCAGGATATGAATAGGCACTTTCTACATAAACACTCAGGAAATAATGTTTACATATCAGATGAGTGGAAAAAAAAACAACAAAACAACCAGTCAGTCAAGGAAAAAAAAAATTGAGAAAATACCTATTAAGCCTAATAATTATTTAACAAACATGACAACACTTCAATAAACAAAAAATCAAGTTTTTCAGTGGCACTTGGCTGAATAATCACATGTCATTACTTGGATACAGAAAACACTCTCTTCTAGTTCTGGTAGGAATATAATATAAGAATTGGACAGCAACTGGCAGGCACCTCTAGACCAGCAGCTCGAGTGGGTTCTCTCTCGGATTGTTCCTACAGCCCAGTCATTACTGCTATATACAAGACACATCCTCTGCCTCGCAATTATAAATGGCACCAGTGCATTACAGTCGTTTTGGCTCACTGACCCTGCATCCAGGTGAATGACAACTTTCAGTGCTGTCCTTCTGGATAGAATCGTTTTAGCACCTTTGACTGTTCATTTTGCAAATGTGTTTTCAGCTGCTTGAACAAGAAATCCAGTTGTGCACAATATGCTACACGTGTTTTTTTTTTTCAATGACACATCTTTGTTCTTTTGGAATACAAGGTATATTTTGACCCTGGCAGCCTTGATCAAGGAGGTTTTTTTCATTCACACGTATTGTATTAGGAAAATCTGATCACCACTGTAAAACAGGGATTGATAAATCAGTGCTTGTGGTGCAACATCGAAAGAGGTGAATTCAATCTGTTTCCATGACAGAGCACATAAAATGGATTACTTTATCGGGACACCATGGGCAAGGCTGCCATTTACAATCTTTAAGATCAGACAAGATACCTCAGTTACACGTCACATTCCATTTGCAATGACAACAAAAATAAAAGTCAAACTTTGCTATGGTGTATTCAGTGATGGTAAAATGCTGCAGTTACCTGTGGGAATGGTGGAGACATGAGAGACTTATATGCTTTCTGCTTAAATATGACTCCCTCTGCAAACTGTGTACCTTATTGATCTGATGATCCTCTGCCAGTTGTGATCTTATGGTCTTTAGTGCTAGTGTGTATTTCACTGTATGATTATCTGTTCTGCAAAAATTAACTTAATTCTCTTCTTAAGCTATATAGCATTCACAAACCTTGGCACCATTGGCAAAAGATTCTTGGTAGCCCAAAAAAAAAAACAAAAGAGAAAAAAAAGTAAACATAACTGTACTTGTTTTAAGATAATTTTGCAGACTTCTCCTAACTCTAAATACAGTATTTTTTTTTTTTACTTTTTCATATTGCAATAATATCATGCTTTAGCAAAATGTTCTTCTCAAGAACGATCAAAATAAAATAAAATACTCTAATAGTGAAATAGTTTTAATTTTACAGAGCATAGCCACTACTGCTTTTGTTGTTTTTTTTCCCTTTTGACTCTGTTCATACTTTTCATGCACATAGCTCATTTTTATCCCAGGTATTTACACTATATACAAACAATACAACCATTCTTCTTAGGCATTCAAACAAAACTATACAAATATTCTGTTTTTGTCTCGTACCTGTTTTTGACCCATTTTTAATGAATAAAATAATATATTTCTAAAATACAATCCCCTTTGGGTAAATGTTTTTTCCTACGTACTTTCAGCCTTCTTTATATACAGAAATCGCTCAATTGTCAAAAATATGGATTTGTCAAACCCCTATTTTGGGACAAGCTTAGGGACCCCTCAAAGAATCTCTAAGACGTCAAGGCAATGTATGTGATCTTCCCCTCAAAAGCCTTCACAGGCTCTGAAGTTCATTTAAAAAAAACAGTAATAACCTGCATGACCAGAACCATTACAACACAAAATAGGCAAGTTCGTTTTCCCTTGTTTTAGGATTCAGAGGAGCAATCAAGGCAAACTGAAACAAAAGCAAAAGAAACAGGACAATACAGGGATAGCTTCATTACTGAGATGGTAGAACTTATGGAGGAGAGGATGGGTATGTGCACCACTAGAGTGGAAACAAAAAGAAAATCATAGGATAGGCTGAAAGACTAGACCATAAGCACACAAGCAAAGACTTTTCTTGCCAAGAAGTCATGCATTTTTTCTTGGCAGGGTTCAACAACATAGAGTCTGAAGATACAGATCATCAATACATTAGACTTGATGGAACAAATACATTGGACAGTATGGAACAAATTCAAGTAATAAAGTGGCAATATATACGGTAAAGCATAGGGTTTTTTTTTTTTTTAAGAAATGGCAAAACAGAAATATTTCATCCCCCATCTGCATCCGCATGTTTAAACCCCCCGACTACATTCATTTGTAGCTCCACCCGTGTGGGCAGATTGGTGGGGTAGAGCACAGTGGGACAGAGGAGCTTTTAAGCTAAATTGAATATTATATCATCTACAGCAGTGGATAGAAGTGGGTGTGTGGGTTAGCAATATATTTGGTTAAAAAAGAAAAATCCTTCTTCAAATGAATTGATTGGTCACTTAAAAAATTATGAAATACAATTAGAGCCCAGAGTGTTTCTGCATGGTCTCCCTATCCTCTGAGATCTTCTGCAGCAGCCTTAATGTACGTCTCTTCAGGTCCTCACATGTGACAGACCTCCTCGGACGTGTCCTGCGTTCGCTTCCTTGATCGTCCAAAAACCTTTTCATATCCAAAAAAGACAAAGCAATCCATGAAAAAGTGCAAAAAATGCCATGAAGCAAATGTTCTGCACCCCCCCACCCCGACCCTTAGAGTTTATAATCCCGTAGAAGTTGCCACTCTCCGAACAAAATCAAGTCAGTGGAAAGAATAGATATGTGAAAAAATGCTGTTGTACATGTAATAGTAGTTGAACCAGTAACACTGCAGAAGTAGTAATAATTGCAGTGCTTGCATTGATGTTTTTTTTCCATTTCTCTTGTAAAATGTCTCGGGTACAAACAAAAAAGAAAAGAGGAGTCAGGAGAGTGATGTCACATCGCGAGGGGGCTCTTCTGAGGGGTCTCATGTTCCCTGGCCCTTTTCAATTCTTTCACCCTGGAACACAGACAGAGACAGGCGTCCATGAATACAGCAACCATGACTTGAGCGTCAAGCTTATCAAGACACACACAGGCTGAACAGCATCACACTGTTCAGCCAGAACTATCAGAACAATATCAAGTCAGCCCAGATCATCAGGAACTACGGCTGGTCTGTGAAAGGAAACGTTGGTCAGGATTGAGCTGCACTTGCACTTTGGAATGAACAAAATGGGATAATTATGGCACAATTACAGAATCATTATTGTATTAATTTATTACATTTCACAAAATAAGTACAAGAAATCCTTGTCATGAAATGCATTTAATTTGAAATGTTCCAAAACAATATGGTAATTAAATTATAGTTATTATACTTACAGTTATTCTAAATTGATATTAGTCATTTCAAAGTGAAAATTGGCTCTGAAAACGCAGCCATGTGACACTAATGTGACGACCTCTGGTTACGACAAATGAAGATTAGAAAACAATGTAGAACTGTCCTGGTACATTTTTAAATCTAGTTAGTGATAGACAATCATTGGACTAAATGTTTATGGTCAAGGTAGAGGTCCGTTCCACATTAAAAAACTGAAAGAACTAAGAAGTCAAAGAGGTCAAGACTGAGAAGAAATTCTCAATTTGTGGAAATATAAAGCGACTGATTCTCTGTATTTCATGTCTTCTTCTGGCAGTTCTCAAAAGAACACCACCAGAAGCTGGTGTGGGTTCATAGAGGAGACATGCGTCTCAAGTGTGTGAGCAAAAAATGGTCAGCCTGTTAAGTACACAACACTCTTTATCCTAAAAATGGATTTTAACACATCAACCACCAACATGTTATAGATTTAGACCTACCCTGGCAGAAGGTAAATACTGCAACATTTATGTAGTGAAGAGAGGCCGACCAGGGGTAGATGCATGCTTAGATGCAGTGTGTGCACACACACATCCTGTGCGCGTCTGTGTGTGTGTGTGTGTGTGTGCTGCATCCTCTTAAGCTGAGCTGGTGTACTCCCTGGAGGTATGAATCCATTAAAGCTGTGTGCTAGAGTCCCAGTGGGTGAAGGAACCTATTGTTTGTTTTTTCACTGTGACCTATATGCTATCACAGCTTCCTAACCTATTATCACAGTGTAACAGACGAGGCCGCCATAAGAGCAGCGTACATCAACAATGTCACCTGCTCTAAAAACACGGTTCCCTCATTTAGGGCAGTATACAACAGATACGGAACATAGTAAAAACATGTAACATGAATGTCAACAGCAAGGAGGTTCAAGATTTAACCAAATGCTCAAACTTGTATACATGCTATATATGGTGTTCATAGCTTTTTCCCATTCAGCTGTTTCTTTTTGTACTGTATTTTTTAATTTGTTTTGTTTTGATGAACCAATGGGCGGATTCCATTCAACAGTTTGACACAGTTTTAGAAAGTGGAAATCAGACGGAATAAGTTCCCCTCTCAGTCTGTTGAGTGGCTAGAAACAGGACACACAGCCAATCAGACAGACAGACAACTACTTGAGAAACAGCAGGCCCATAGCATGCCTGAAGGTAGAAGAGCAAGGCCCATAGTTGTCACCACTTGACATGCAGCAGAATAAAACATGATCGAGAAAAAGCTTCCCGTTCTCTCACACTGGCTATCTGCATAACCACACAAAACCAAAATTAACAAAAAAAACAAACAAAAAACCAAAACAATAAATAAACAAAAAGTAATTTCCAAGGAGAGAAAGACAGAGATAAAGAGAGTCAGAGAAGTGCCTGTTAAGTGTTGCAGTGATATTGTCATTCATAAGCATTTTGTTAGTTTGAGATAGGTTCTGCTCTAAATCTGAGCTTCTCAGTCCACCTGTGGCTCCAGTTGGCAGCCTTCATGCAAGCAGGCATCAAGCAACAGTGATGGAGAAGGAGGCAGGGTGGGTGGAAAGGTGGGAGAGAGAGAGAGAGATAGAGAGAGAGAGAGAGAAAGAGAGAGAGAGCAAAAGAGAAAATCAGAGTGAGGGAAGGAAGGAGAGAATGCGAAGGCCGAGACCTCAGGAGGAGATAATTGTATTATTAAAGAGTGAGAGCGAGAAACAGACTGGGAGATAAGAGGGGGAGAGAGAGGCATAGAGAATAAACAGGGAAAGAAGGAGAGATAGAGAGAGTGAGAGAGAGTGAGAGAGAGGCACGAACTGAGTTGCTGAGGCTGCACTCACCCGCTTGAACAGTCTATGGTCCATCAAGGGGCTTGGCATAAACAGCAAAACAATACCAGACAGCTATTAGCACACAGTAGGCACTGTGAAGGAGGGGGCGAGGACAGGTGGGGGGGCCAAATACAGTGAGGGGAAGGGAGGTGGAGCTTAGGTGTTGGAGACATTTCTAACCACCCAATTTTTCCAACAAAGGTAAATCAAACACATCACACCGAGTAAAGAGAGATGGACAAAATCATGAAATCAGTGGTAGTTTCTACTATGTCTTTACCGATTAGCTCAATGGGATATTATTCTTCTAGACCATGAACCAACCATTGACGTGTTGTTTCACTTATGTAAAATTGTGTGTGTGTGTGTGTGTGTGTGTGTGTGTGTGTGTGTGTGTGTGTGTGTGTGTGTGTGTGTGTGTGTGTAAATATGTGTATGTTAGTATGTGTTTTAGTCAGTGTCGGGGTCTACCTGTGGCGACAGCGACGTAGGAACCTCATGATCTTCCTGGCAGCCTGATCCTGCCTCTTTGTGAGCAGACTACCTCTGTAAAACAGCAGATAACAGTGTCATACTGTGTTTATCTTATTAGTAGTAGTAGTAGTAGTATATTCAAATATTTGGCCTTAACACGTAGCTGAGTATCTACCTCAGTTTGTGCTGCACCAGGGCTGCAGCTGCCCCGCGGTGGTGGGGCTTCAGCCTGCCAAACTCCTTGTAGCTGCGGTAGTATTGCTGAATGAGCACGGCGGCCCTCCTGCTCTGCTGGAACTTCTTCTGCTCATGGTAGCTGCGAAATTTACTCTGGATAAGGATGGCGGCCTGCGTCATCTTCTTATAAAGTGCATACTGTTGACAAAGAACAAAACAATATGTCACACTGTGTCGCGTGTGAATACTCCAATGGTGCTATGGGATCGCGCTGTAGTAGTAGAAGAGCACAATCTGAAGTTTGGCAGTGAATTCAGCTGAGTGTTTTACCTTCAAGGCTATCCATGTTAGCTTGCAAACAGAAAAAGGGAAAGATTGTGAATGATGCACTAAAACTTAAAATGCTGAAAAGCTTCACTGGTATATTTAAGAGTATTGAGATTCATTCATAGATCTGCCTCCTAAAAAACCGCAATATAGACTAATTAATGAATTAATTGCGTATCAGGAACACTTCAACACTTTGTGGTTACCTGTTTGTATTTCTTGTAACATCGTTGAATAACAGCAGCAGCTACTTCCTGTTGTTCTCGGAGCGGCCGTCCCTGTTGGAGAGTAGAGTGGGATAGGTCAGAGGTCACAGTAGAACCTGCATTTCGCCACAAAGGAAATTAGTTGATCTGTCAAGTCTCCCTGAGGATCTCCTGCTGGCGGGCAAATGATTGCCACCCTGGAATGAATCCAAACCCTGGTGGACTGGCCCCCATGTGAGCAGTGGGGAGCAGGAGGAAAGCTGTGGAGCGACAGAGAGCCAAAGGTCCACCTCAGTATCAGCTGGCACAACAGATGACTGTAAACAACAGCGAAAAGTTTGTCATATGAACACTTTGGTAGCTGGGGGGTGGGTAGCAAGTTGAGGAATGGGATCGGGCAAGGGGGGGTGGGGGTGGGGGTGGGGACTGGTGTGTGGAGAGCTAGTTAAAAACAGGCAGTAGCAGGCTCCAAACACCTAACTGAGAAAGAGAGAGAGAGAGAGAGGGAGAGAGACAAAGAGAGGAGAACATAAACTTAATCGTGTCTAATTGGAGCANGTAGCAAGTTGAGGAATGGGATCGGGCAAGGGGGGGGGGGGGTGGGGGTGGGGACTGGTGTGTGGAGAGCTAGTTAAAAACAGGCAGTAGCAGGCTCCAAACACCTAACTGAGAAAGAGAGAGAGAGAGAGAGGGAGAGAGACAAAGAGAGGAGAACATAAACTTAATCGTGTCTAATTGGAGCAGGGGTAAAGGGGACAATGCATCGTTCCTCTAAGCAAGGCCATGCTCTGCTCAAGCCACCTTCCCATGCTGAAACCACAGGGACATATTTGTATATTTCTTTGTTTATGTTGTCATGTGTTTATGAGCAGAGAAACAGAGAATGAGACAGAAATAGAGACAGAAAAATGTGAATAACATTATGATTAGAAACTCCATCTCCACATCTCCAGATGAAAGATGTTAATGAAACACGTCACAACGGCAAAAATCAGAGCTCCATAGCTTGGAACCAAATAAAAGTGAACCCTTCAACATCTCCCCCAAAAGCCCAAAACAAAACCATCCAATTACTCCAGTCCTAACAGCACAGCCCTGCCACTGCAGGCTGCAGTACACACAGCATATGGCACCCGAGCGCCAGGCCTGTACCTTGTACTTGCGGAAGGCAGTTTGGACGAGGCGGGCAGCCTCATACAGCTCTCTCTGCTCTGGATCTGACAGAGTCAGCTGGGCCAGGTCTCGCTCCACCTTGCTGTTGGAGGCATTGATGAACTCGCTCCAGTCAGCTGGGGATGGGAGTGTGGACCTCTCCAGGGGTCCCTCTCTCAGCGGAGACCCGCCAGGACTGAGGCTGGGGTTGGATGATGGGGTCAGGGGTTCGTTATAAAGAGATCTGAGGAAAGAGGATGACAGACATGTTCACTTCTTTTCAGACTTCTTTATTATTATTGTAGAAATGCTGCAGGTGGTGATTATGCAAGCTTACACTACACCTGTTTACTTCACACTTACACTTGACTCTGACCTAGACCTCTAATTTGGCAATGCATGCACTACGCATAAATGTGCTCTTCACCCATTTTACTCCAACAATGTAGCAACCTTTTTGGACAATACCACAGTGTAAAGTAAAGAAAGAAAAGGACACACACAGACTCTACACACACCCACTTACTGGCTATGCAATATGCATATCTGCTGTTCCCTGCACGATGGCGCTCCTTACCGTAAGTGTAGGATGCTCGGGAGCTGTTCCACATCTCCCAAGTAGTTGGCCAGCCAGTTCATGGTGTTGCTGACCCCTGACGTGTCTAAGGGCACAGCGTCTGCAGCGGTGAAGTTCTCCCTCTTGATTCTCTCTGGTGTTGCTTCAATGATGTGCTCTGCCAGAGTCATCATGTTTACCTGTTTTGTTGAAACAAATGGAGATGAGTTTACCACCACATATAAAGTATGTTAAGAAACAATCTAGCTTGGAGATTGTGCATGGTCTGGACATGCAGGGTTAATTGCTTCACTCTATGACAAAAATGTTGGCTCTAATGTCAATGGAAAGGGTAATAATGATGAGAGTGATATTGTTGTAGGCTAAAATTTCTAATCCAGCTCTTCATCGTTTGGAGGAGCAGTTAGACTGAGATGGATGGCTGGAAGAATCCCTTGGCTATGGAAGTGGATCAATAGAGAGAGTTTATTATGCAGTGATGGTCATTAACAGAGTGCCCGATTAGCCTGGTGTGTATCGCCCACCCGATACAGAGGGCGGACATAAAAGAGGTGGTGTGGTACTGTTATGTCCAATTTAAATGTCATCTCGCCATGCTGTATTCACTGGTGACTGTACTGACAGGCACGCCATTTCAAAAAAAGTGGTGCCACAGAAATATCCATATCACATCGTCACTCTGATAGTACACATGCTTTATGTGCAAAGTGTATTATTTGTATTTGTATGGAGGTTTGGTTTTTATTGTTTTCACCAACTTTTACAAAAACAATGTTTGAAAAAGGAGATCAGTTAACACTGCAACTTTTCTGCTAGGTGTTTATTATGTAGCCGTGCTTTCTGCTGCTGTACTATGTGGTATACCATTTAGATCAACAGCAATTAAATTGGCCCAAAATGAATTCTTTGGTAGCGCTGGTGCTTGGTTCTGTACATTAAGCTGACTGTTTTGTTTTTAATCACCTGCAGGTCATCCATCTGTGTGAGACAGTCCTGGTTCTCCAGATCGTCCCGATAGGTTAGCAGTTCTGCATCAGCCATTTCTCTGTCTGCCATCACGAGCATGCCTAGCTGTTCCCGCTGACGCAACCGGTTGACCAGTTTCTCCTTCCCCAGGCTGGTGCCTCCACTGACCCCCAGCGCCTTCCTTCCCAAGCCGCTGCTGGAGAACGTCTCTCTTGAGGTCCATCTGGCTGTCCCCGTGCTGCCTCCTGTAGACAGGCCTTTCTCTGAGCTGAGGCCTTCTGAGGACAGGCTCTTGGGGCTAGAGGACAGCTTGTGGAGCTGTTGCTGCTCCAGGCTCAGAGGAACAGACATGGCCTTGTCAGGCCGAGTCTGAAAGAGTTCTGGGTTGGGTTTATGTTTTTTAGCTAGTGGGAGGTCTCTTTGGCCCTCGCTGCTGTAATAGTTGGAGGGCTCCGATCTGGGCCTTCTCAAGTCTGCAAAAATCAGAGCATGTGACAATTAGCTGCATAATACATAAACAAAGACTTTGTCATACACTAACAGAAGAAAAGGGATCTTCTAATCAATGACTTTTCTTCCAAATGTAAGAGACATTCATAAAGAAAACTCCACTGACCTGGATTGAGGCTGGTGGTGGTGGATGTGGTTGTAGTGGTGGCAGGACCTCCTTTCTTGCCATTGGGTGCGACTACACTGTCGTTTGCCCAGCTGACCATCCAGCTGTCAGTGGTGGGGGCATCGGGACCCGGGGAGAAAGACATGCGAGTCGTGGGTGGTAGAGGGGCTGGTGGCTGCTGCTCTTCCCTCTGTAGCTGCTCCAGACATTCGGCCAGTTTGGTGTGGCCACGAGAGCGGGCAATTGACAGGGGTAAGCGGCCTAGAGAATCAGGGATAGCTAGGGCACGTCTGTCCCATTTGTACAGGACCACTGCTGCCTCCAGGTGACCCAGAGCACACGCCCACATCTGGATGGAAAACAGATAAGAAAAGGTAGAGAAATGGAATTGGGAGGGGGTGGCGGTGGGGTGAGGTTAATACAGTAGATTGTTCGATCTACACCAGCTACAGGTTTCACAACAGATCACACAAACTAGGATTTTCTTCATTACTGCTCTAAAGATGTTCACTTCACTCTTACCAGAGGTGTGCAGGAGAAGTGATCCACATTCAGCGGGTCCACTTCTAACTCCAAATCAATACTATCAGCATGTTTGGTGCTGAATAGAAGAGAGAAAACGATCAGCAACTCACGGCCACTTAGTGTGGCATACAACAATTACAAACCAAAGCATCATTATATAGTATCTTGAGTATTTTGTTCTCACCGCCACTTGATGAGTGTTTGGATGAGGGTAGCGTAGCCCTGGCCGGCAGCCAGGTGAAGGAGTGTCATGCCTCTGAAGGTCTTGGAGTGGATTAAATGTTTGGACTTGGCCCAGCAAGCTCTGCTCATCATCTTCTCACAGACCACCACGACGCGGCTCTCGAAGGAGCTGCTCGCTTGCATCTGGCCAGATACACACTCACATAAACAAAAGAGCAAGTCGTTATTGGTTGTTCCAAATTCCTCTTTAACAAGAACAACAAGAACAACAAGAACAACGAGACCAACAATAACAACAACAACCAAACTGATTCATTTCTCAGTCAATCAATAACAACACAATGTGCTTGCTGTGTGCTGTCACATGTTCATATATCTTAATGCACAACATGTTAGTAGCGTGATGTGGCTTTTTACCTGTGACTGGCTGTTGTTGTTGCCTCCCCCTCCACCTCCTCCGCCTCCTCCCCCTCCCCCTCCCCCTGTTCCCCCTGTTCCTCCCCCAGCTCCGCCACTCCCTGCACTGCTCGTCTGCTGGTGGCTGGCCATCTCTGCCATCCTCCTCTCCATCTGCTCCAAGCGCTCCAGGATAGACATTCTGAACTGGTTATCTGGGCAAAACAGTGGGACACAGAAGAAGAAGAACACGTCAGCACATAAGTAGCATCCAGTGTACAAAAAAAAAAAAAAGGAAAAAAAAGAAAGATGTTTGTCTTTGCTGTTACCAGCACAAACAACCCTGTGTCCTGACAAGACAAATTATCACACAATATGCACCACAAGCTGTACTAAATATGTTGCTCAGAGCAGCATTGAGACTGTCGCAGTGACTTGGGGGCTTAACATCATGAGGCATGCAATCAACACTTGTATTAAACTAATTTCTGAGATACTGCAAAGCTGATGGCAAGTTAATTTCCTACCTTCAGCTACAACACACAAAACCCTGATAATCATTATTAATCTCCCCAGAATGTGAGTGAAATAGCATCAATCATTAACTTCATCAAAACAATCGGCTTTACTAAAATAACCTTTAAAGCCCATCAATCATCTGCTAATGGCTCCCATCACTAAACTCCTGCCGCCATCTCTCCTCCACCACTCAAACACAGCCACAGCAGACTATAATACAGGTTGAATGATTGGCCAATGAGTGGGGGCATGTTAAATATGTCCACCCTTCCATACAGGGCTTCAGACACGCTCTGGGGGAGTGTGCAGCTGAAGGCACTCTCCAGCTGATTAAGTACAGCCTATTATGGCCCTAGAAGTCCCAGCCCACCCCCGTTCTATGAGCCTGTATGGTAGGAGGACCACAAAGCTGACAGTACTGAATCAATCACAACTTAAACCTATCCACAGTCCTTGAAATCCCAGCCTATCCATACATCAAGATGGATGGAGGTGCATGAGACTTGGGAGTGTTTAAATGCTGCTTAGGAGGCAACTACTGCGTCGTACCCAGTGTCAAAGAAGTTTTATGGGTTGTCTCTGCTCAAATTTTCAGCCTCGCAATAAGAAAATCTATTTTCTATGTCAGAGATATAGAACATGCTGCATAATGCAAGACCTGAGTGAGCAAAGGGCAGAGCAAATGACTTCTAGGCAGTGAACATATTTTAATTGAAACAAGCACAAAAAATAAACTGGTTGTAACTGGAAAATTAAGCAGACTGTAAAATTGCCAGGCAGGTTTTGAGTAATTAATATTAAAAAGTCCAAACACTTATAAACACTGCAATTTAAACTTGCTGTAATATGTTCATGTAAGATTATGAGACGCAAAGCTCACTGAGGCATTGAGGAAAATCCCCCCCCCCCCACAAACACTCACCTACACACTAAAAAACAACAAACACTTGAGAGTATGAGTGCGCGCGCGCGCACACACACACACACACACACACACACACACACACACACACACACACACACACACACACACACACACACACACAAACACACACACACTCAAAGTATGCTGTGTACAGACAGTGGAATGGGATGGGCACAGAGAGCCCACTGCAGCAGGGAGTATAGAAGACTGCATTAGCATTCCCCATTTAGCCACTATGAGGCCGTTTCTGTGGCAACCTGCTGCCGAACGGTAACTAGGCGACAGGAACATGGCTGTGTGTGTATGGTCTGCCTGCGTGCTATTGGCTTATTGATGAAGGGGAGGAGAAGGACTCAGTACACCAGCAAAAAAAAATGGTGAAGGAAAGGCAAACAATGAAAAAATAGTCCATAAATCTTCTTTGCTGTGCTTTTGTGTACTTTGCCTATTCTCTTTTCTCAGTGTTGATGCCGTAGGTAGGGACCTAATGACTCTAAGTGGGGAGCCTTCACAGCACGACCTGGTGACATTTGCGCTTTACGGTATCTTGGCAGTCACGGCTCAGGGCTCCGTGGAGAGCTAATGTCACAGTCAAACCTCCTATAAGCCACTGTAAAAGAGGTCAAATAACTGCTATCATTGGACAGAAAAACATAATGTGGCTGGCTGCTACATTACTGCTTTCAGCGACAACATGCTGCGCTGTGGATAATGGAGACCTATCAGTTGAGGTCTCTGCCTTCGATCCCTGTGTGCGCTATCGACTGTGTACGTGAGCGTGCTGTCAGATCAGCAGATCACTCTCATATCAAGCAGGTGGGAATGTTTGCCAAGGCTCTTCTTATGTGGAAACCATCTTGAGACAGGTGAGGTGAAGAGTTGAGAGCTTGTACCAGACTGAGTGCTTGTGTCAAGAGGGGAGTCAGAGGGCTGAGATAGGTCACAGCACTACAACCTGCCTTGGTACAAGGCTATGCTCTTCCTCCCCCTCTGGCTTACAGGTGGGGAAAGACGTAGACAAGAGAGATGAAGAGAGAGAGAGGGGATAGTTAGCGGTAGGCTGACATGTCTTTGTTCAGACCCAGTGCTGCAGTGTGCTGCAGTGCAGATGATGTCATCTCCACCTGCTGCCTGCTGCTCCAAATGCGATGCACGTCCACTGCAGAGGGAGGATGGGGGTAGAGACGAGTGGGAGGAGAGAGGGAGGAGACAGGGAAGGTGAGCAGCCAAACAGAACTGTAACAACACGGTGACGTTGTTAACGCCCTCCCACTCTCCGGTTTACTCCCTTGTGACGGTGTGTGGCAGCAGACGTGGTCACTCTCACACATTTAGGGTAGACTGTGACAAGCTATTTTAAACAAGCAACTAGGTGCAAAAATGAGCAGCACTCATTATATTTTGAATACTTAAAACGAAAGGTGATTTGTCATCTGAAGTGTAAAATTACAGCTGTCAACACACAAGTACGCCTTCCAAAGCCAGGCTAAGTTTCTGCGGGTGAGCCCAGTTCCCTCTCTTGTGGAGATTTATTAGACATCTTCCCTCTGCTTTTGTTGCTGTATTCACCTGCAGGACTTGGACCCTTGCTAACTCTCCCCATCCAAATTGAATATAAAGAATACAAAAGGAGAGAGAACTCTTCCCTCTCCTGTATAAAAACCTACACCGACTTTCATGCTCTATCAATTCTCATCTCTGGTGTGGGTTCTCCTGTGGAGTGCAGAGTGGTATCTACTGGGGGTTATTTTAATGAGAACAGCTAACAGTTAAGAGTGAAGGATATTTTTTTCTTCTTCTCTACACTCTGTTACATAACAATTGGAGTGTGCCTTTTGAAATTACACTGACTATGTTGCCAAACGACTTGTCTCCCCGTAGAAGTGAGAGCACCACCTCTCACCTGTGGGACGAAAGAATAGAGAGGATGGGGAAAAAAACACATTTAAGGGTGTTTTAATAGAGCGACTGTTGCCTTAGCAGAAAAGTGAACACTATGCATCAAGAATGTGAAGAAAACAACCGTGTTACACTCTGTGCCAAAGGTCTTGAACTTTTATGACTGATAACCCAAATGAGTAATTTTGTCGCTTGCCTTGGGAACAACGCTCATTACAGTAAATGTCTAGTGTTGTCTCAGTGGAACCAACCAGACACTGGCCTGTGACCTGGTCCTGTAATATAGATAAAGAGGCTGGGCTCCATAGGGAAAGTCACAAGTCTAGTTTGGGAAGTCACTTTTGCACGAGAGCCTTAGCAGAAGTACTGTAACATACTTCCTGCATGATAAAACTAGTGCCTGATCTCTGCAGAGTCAGTAGTGTTTCTTAGCGTGTGATGACTCTTCTGTGTCACTGTGGCTCTGCTGTTGCTTCATATTAGTTTCTGTCAAAGGACATGGATATCCTCTAGAGAATCAGAGAGCACAGGACCTGGCAAGATGTGCATTGGGTTTCAACCCACACGGCGTCACAGCCCTGCCCCATGTGATCTATCTCATCTCCGGGACATGGCAGCAGCTTCTCATGAGACAGGTTGACATACAGACGGATAAGGGAGGGAAGGACAGGGCTGTTTATTGACACGCAGTGGAGCACAGTGGGAGTGAGAACAGGCTGAAGGGAGGAAGAAGACAGCAGGAGAGATTACAGGTAAGGACAGGACAAGGATGAAGTGAGATGAGATGAGAGGACAGGACGAAGGTGATGGAGAGGGGGAGAAATAGGGAGGAGGGGGTCAGGAGAGAGAGGACATGCCAAGGCAGAAGTTGTTATAGAGACAGGTTGGAGAATTCAGTGGTTGGGTCAGGTTAGCGGGCAGCAAAAGGCAGCTTTTCTGTCCCTGCTCGGAAATGTCAAGGATGAGGGCAAGAGGAGAACTATTATTGGAGCCCCATTATCTTGGAAACGTGTGGGCGCTCGTGCACACAAACACCTTGTATTTTCATCCTTGGACCAGTAAAATACTGAGTTCAAGTACAAGAAGCTTGTTGAACATACTGTAATATCAACACACAGCAGCAGTCAGGGTCTTAGACAAACAATATAGACTGAAATACACAGTTGTGTTAGAATCATCGAGTGTCTGTTTTTCTGATTTTAGCTCAAGAAATAGTTCCTCTGTCCTTGGTCATCACAGACTGTATTCTTTATTGAAAAAGGCAAACTCATCTTTTATCCTAGAGTGGCTTACAAACGTATTCATAGAGCAAACTCTCCATAGAGTGTGGGAGGACATCTTTAATCCTCACTTCTGAACCTCTGGTTGTGTTCATGCCAATCAATTTAGTGTTAGACCTCATTATCTCTCTGCAGCCAGTCAACTTCTCACATGTAACCCAGTAGAAAGACCGGAGGCCAGCCTCCCTCTGGGTCTCTGTGTGAGCTGACTGACAGGGGTTGGTATTTGTGACCATGCAGAGGAAGGGGCCAGGCCATCTGGCAGCAGCCCTCACAGCTGGAACACATGGGTGTCTGTTGATTAGGCCGACTTTACTTGACATAGTGTAATGACTGGTTTTGGTTTTGTTCTGTCTACTATTGTTTTTCCTTCCTTTTTTCTTGTATGCAGAGTGATAACAGAAGACTGTTCTGACTGTTCAAACAATAATATTGTACAAGATAAAGACGTCTTCTGTAGACTCTGTTATTATGGCATCAAATCTATTTGAGGATCCCATCCATCCATCTGCTCTACTGCTTATCCTGTTCAGGGTTGCAGGGGGTGGGGCTAGAGGCAGGGTACACCCTGGACAGGT